CGTCACCGAAACGAGACCAGAAAACCCACGCGAATCGAAAGTCACCAAGGAAAGTATCTGGTTGTTCTCTGGCGTAAACCGCAGCGTAACGTTGGCAAACGTTATTCTACCGGAAACTGTGTTCCCCTCCTCGAACACCTCTACCTATAGACAGGCAAAAAGATAAAAGCGGAGTCGACTGTAAGCAGGAGCAGACGATGAGATCACCTGCGAGCAACGGATGAATCAGAAAGTCCCGTGTAGCAGGATCCTAACGGCACTCTCGAGAAATTAACGACCTCGAGGGACGACGGTGAGCACGCGCGGTCGCGAACGAATAAAAAAAAGATCCTTAAGAGAACCGAGGAAATAAAAATACCGAGGGTGGGAACGCACCAAAGCGTCCTCGAAATTCTGCGTCGCTAGGGAGAAATACTCGTTCGCCCTGGCCCAAGGATCGATTGTGCACACGGAAAATCGCTATATGCTGTTCCCCTTCCCAACGATACGCCAGCAGTTACCTCGTTACGCGATTCGTTTCACGATCGTTCGACCGCGTCTACTTCGACTTCGCTTTTCGTCTTCTCGGGACTTGACAATTTTCGAGTAGTTCGAACTCCACGATTAGAGCATTCGTTCCGTTTCGAATCTTGCCACTCCGTCGATCGAATAAAAGATCCTCCTATCTCTTTTCGTCGAGTTATTACAAAAGCGTAATTTCTCCTATGCAATTTTTAACCACATTCTAACACGTAACACCCCGTAGTTGGCGTTAAATTAGATCAGAACATCATATTCGTAACAGAAACTTTCGAACGAAGCGCGATGAACAGATAACGTTACACGCATTGCAGGTATGCGTTATATTCCACGTGTTTTAAAGCGTATATCTCGTTACATTCATCGATATCAAAGTTTGCAAAACCGCATTGTGCAAGCATTAGGATCGTGTGGGAAGCGTTAATGACTTTCTAAGCGTTCGCATATTTTCTGATCGAAGGACACGCATGACTAAATGGCTACGATTATCGGAACGACGCCGCATGGTTTTGCCTACTTCTAACCGGAGAAAGCCGTGTCCAATGGAAGACCTCGTTTTCAACCTCTGACTTATCACCGTGTTACGCGTTAAGTACCGTAATACGTATTCTCGTAGGTGACCAGTTAACCGCTCGCTAATCATTCTTTTTATTTTTCATCTACGAACCTTTTGTCTTTCGTCAACTACCTTCGATTACGCGAACAAATGTTCGTTTCGCTTTACACGATATCGAATTAATAATTAAATATATCGAATAAATGATTACCAAATTTAAGAGTGACACGAATTTCAGCGTGTTCTTGATTCCTACGTCGGTATTCCGCGAGAGGAAATATATTGAAAAGTAGGTTAAAAACGAGGCACGGGTAATGTTATAAAAGATTACGACCAAAAGCCGCGGTAAAGTATTAGCATAATCGTGCTAGAGGTCAATGACTGGGAAATCGATCGAAACCCTGGACGACAGTGAGTCTGTTGCACCGTTGCATCGGTGCAACGAGCACTCACCTGACTGTAATGCCCTTCTTTAGTTATTCAAAGGGTTTTCCTCTAACTCAAGTTCTTTGACCTACGTTCCTTTTATACTCGCGTGGAATACACGACTCAAGGATTCTCACACCGACTAAAACATCGTTCGTTAAAACCAAAGGAACAACGAAATAAAGAAAAGTTACAAATACGTTAACGATACTTTCCGAAATGTCGCATCGATTCCTTTCCTTATACCCGATGCGATGCATTACGAGCAATGTAACCGTGGCTTTGTAACGCGAGAAAAGCTCGACCTCCGTACTCGGTCGATTTCCGGTTTGCCACGACGAAAGAGGATTTAACAATCACGTTCGCGGAAGATGATCTCTGTTCCTACATAACGCTCGAACGATTAAACGAGTCGGAGATTACGGTAATTAGGGACTTAACGCTGGTATCAAAAGTGCAACAAAAAATTTTTAATCTCTCATCTTTTCGGGAGAATAAGAAAAGCTTCGTTCGTATTATTGAACAATTTTCGCATAAAATGTTTCGGCGACGTTTAAATTTACACTCGTCGTTCATCGTTAAATTCGGTGAGCGATAAGATCGTTTTGCTGATCGAAAAGCGATTTTATATCCTACTAGCGCGACGTTTTTCGCTTTATTATCCGAACCTTCTTCCCTGTAATCCCAACGGAAACGACCGCTATTACCGTAATGAAGAAATCCATTAGCTTCTCATACGGTAAATATTGGTATATCGAATATTCTGATTGAATATCTCAACTTTCCTGCTCGCGGATGCGCGATGATATCGATTTATCAACTCATCGTTGACTGGAATAATTCTTGGCCGGATAAAGACGCTGTCAGAAACGAAATTCATGCTTCGCTACGTTCGAACTCCGTTTTATACGATTCTATGATAAAGGTGTCAAACACTAAATTGGCAATTTCATTTTGAACTGTCAAGATTCACGTATAAGTTATGTATCGTTTCCTGTTTGTATTAATAACTTGGAAATAATAAACCGCAAAACGGAAGATACCGATTGAAAAAAACGATAAAGGGGAGACTCGTTTGTTCCCTTCGGTTCGTTTTTGCAAGATCCGCCAGACACACATCTCATTATTTCCGAGGAGAAAGTACACTTCGTGCTTTCCACCCCGGGTCTAAAAACTCGAAGACACCTCCACTTCTAGTCTTGTCACGCCAGCTTTCGCCCCCTTTTGTTTCGTTTCTTCGTCGTCTCTGTGAAAGGGAGTAATTAACCGTGCCAGGATTTACACGGTGAACGAATAAATTTCAAACATCGAACACTCTTGCGGAAATCGCGAAATTTTTGAAACGATCGAACCGTTTCAAAATATGCGTTTAACGAGTACCTTTGTCGATGTATCGCGATTAAAATAAAAATTTCCGATTCATTCGTGACAAAGATAATTGTTCGTTTGGCTAAAAATGAAGGTGACAGACAAACCACCGGTTAATTGAGACTGAAATCCTGTCTGGACGATAATGAAACCGTTTCGGTCCCTGAATACGAGACAGGCTCTTTAAGAGGTGAGAATAACTCGATACCTAGAGGACATTGGCCTGTCCCAAACTTCCGGTGCATTGTCCAAAAAGGAAACGCGATGCCAGAACGTGGCGGAGTCATCGGCGAGCCTGTGCCAACCTCCGGAAAAGAAACCGACGACGAAACTCTTGATTTCGTTTTACTTTCGACGATCGAATTGTAAAAACCCGTTCTAAATTGCTCGACTTTACGATCACAGGGATATTTTACGAACGAAGATAGAAGGGATGGTTTTCTGTTACGTGGTCAGGGAAGCGTGATACATAAAAAAAAGAAGAAATAAAAAAGGGGCTACTCGTATCGCAGAAGCCTGTGAAGCTTGACGGGAAGTGCTACAAGTATTGCATAGCTCTGTAAGATGATAAATCTTTGCTCAGCATTGTTTAACGTTATCTTTAATCTGTATAGAAGGTATTACGTGTATTATATTACGCTTGTAAGTTAATACAGGTGCTTCCTGCGTTTGTTAACCGAACAGGTATTCGACGAAGATAGGTTTGAACTAATAACGTTATCGAGACGACATAAATTAGAAAGTCGAAGTATCGGATGATCGAATAAGATCGAATAAGATCGAATAAATTAACGGGTCGCGTTAAGCGTTAAAATATAAGAAATTTCAAAATTTCCTTAGAGTCATTTAGATACGGAGCTGCATAGTTTACGTGTTCTATTCGCGTTATCGTTATCGCAATCGCAATAACTTTCGGGATAGTGAATATTTGCGCTTACGGCCGTTCCGTAATAACACCCTTTTCGCTCCACTTTCATTTATCACACCGAAACTATCACTCGTTCATGAAAGTTCAAGTCCTTCGACAAATTACTGCGTCCCTCGAATGTTACCGTGCGATTTATTAAGTAAAATTTCTATGTAATAAAAAGATCCTATTATAAAAGGTGCACAGAAACAAGGTCAGCCGGGGTGATATTCGTGTACGAATAAGCTCTTCTAAAATTTTGAAACGTTAAAAGAATAAAATAAGTTTGTTTTCCTCTTATTTTCGTGCAAACAAATTCTTTTAATTACGAAATTTAAATTCTACCACGAGACATCGTTTGCTATGCTGGTTTTCACGCGTTCGTCGACGATTTTCCAGTGGGAAAAACGTGTCGTCAACTGTTCCAGCGGGATGCATCGCAAACATCAGCACTTCTTTGCTCGTTCCCCTATTTCGAGCTTGCGTATAAAAGCTTTAACGACGATCTTTCTACTGGCTATTATCACGGACTATCGCTAACTAGCTCTGCCCCTCTATTCGTGCAACTTGATTGCTTGTGTCCTCCGTTTTTTATTGGTCCGGCCATCGTTCGATCTCGTTTTCGACTTTTCAAAGCCTTTGACCCTCGACAATTAGTTCGACTTTGTTTTCGTCTAAGCGCAAGATTAAAATATTTTCGATAAAAAATGTTTCGGATTATGCTTTTCGTTCAATTTAGTTTCGAAAGAATACGATGGAAATTTGTATACATGTAGACGGAGTATAAGGAGAACGCAGCCAGGATGCATCAGAAAATCAATGCAGCGGGTCCAGCAGGGTCTTAATCCGACCCGACCGGTCATCGACGTTTGATCCATTTTTCCCAGGAACAACTAGGAAATAAATTTTCCTCCTCTGTCCCCATTACGTTCACCCTTCGACCTGGCAACCCTTCCTGACCTACGTTCTACATCCGACCGTGTCCTCGTTTCCCCCCGTTGTGTTCTCGCCCCAAAAACCAGTATCGGGACTGCAGATGGAAAATATACTCTTTAATGTCTGTTACCACACTGCATTTCTTCCGTTAGCTTCCTTCGTTCGGTCTTTTTATTTTTTTCTTTACGAATGCTATAATCGTTACTCGACAAACGATTAGCTATAATCAAATATCGAATTGTTTACGAATGATCCTTGCGCGAATAACGACGATTCGATGTGTTGCAGGAATGTTTAGCGTTATAGATGGAATACCAGCATTCCAGTACACCCTGTCCGAATGGAGGATCATCGTGACTCATTACGGTGGTCTGGCAGGTCTAGCTTTCGTTGGTCTTCTGTTGGCGGCGATTTTACCCTGCGTCGGATTATTCTTCTGTTGCTGCAGATGCGCTGGCCATTGCGGTGCTAGGAGTCAACCGTTCGACAAGAAACACGATCATTGTAGAAAAGTGTTACTGAGTATGGTGCTGATCGCAGTGGCTACTATTATATTGTAAGTATACTAGCGTTACACTTGTCTCGCATTGGGAAAATGCCAATGAAAAGGGAAATGCAACAAACGAATGCAAAATCTCTTGAACATCGTTCAGAAAGTAGAACGCGACAACAGTCTCTTCGGAGTTGATCGTTCATTCGAATATTCTATTATATAATCAAACGGTATTTTCCATCGTTAATTTCTTTCAAAGGCAATCATCGTGATTCGACAAATGTCAACAACCGTTTCAAACAGAATCAAATAAATTGCTACTCGAAAGAGAAACAAGAGATCAATTTATTCTTTCGACACGGACAAAAGCATTGGATGCAAATTACAGGTTTGGCGTAGTCTGTGCGTTCGTGACGAACGAGTACATGCAAGATGGCACCAAGGAACTACCGAGCAACGTCAAGACCAGCCTGAAGGACGTGAAACTATACCTAAGCACCACCAAGCAGGAGATCAATAATCTTCTCAAAACTAATTTCGACGAACTCGAAATTAATTTAAACAACATCCTGCAAGCGAGTGGCCGAATCGTGACTGAACAGCTTGCCGAATATTCCCATGCAGTCTCTTTGACTAATCTCAGCGACATTGTAGCTGGATTAGAGTCCATCAAGGAAGACTTGAAGACCATGCATACAATCACGAGGGATTTAAGGACGAATGCTAGTCAATTAGACATTGGTACATATTACTAAATCCTATGTTAAAGTCTTCACGGATCGAATTAATTCTTACTCGATTAACGCGACTCGTTTCTTTTTCAGTGGTACGAGGCGTTAAAAACAATCTTCTTCACACGCTCGCCGCATGCAAGACCCAACATTGCAAACAGGTGTTGAACGACTACAAAGTGAATCAAATGTCTGTTCAAGTCGACTTCGACAAGGTAACGCTTCTTCGTTTACTTCTGTTGCGTCCGACGTTCGTCGTTTTCATTCATCGAGATCTAATCTGCTTTCTCTTTTACATGCATGCAGTACATGGACCGATATTTCCCGAAGGTATGAGTTTATTATTACCCTGAACCATTTATCGTTCAACTTTTCTTTCTCCTTTTCTGCTTTCTTTTGTTTTACGTTGCTTATTTTGCGTAGTTCCGCGGGGAGAGTTGCTTTTTAGAAGGATGAATCATTTGGTCGACGAATTTAGATTGGGAAAAAACTGAAAGGGATACTTCAAAAGTTTGCTTCGCGTCCGAAATGAAAGAAACCCCTTTTTCTTTTCGATCGTTCAAATATCACGCTAACTTTATTTCAGCCTTTAGATGGATAAAAGTGATAGACGATAGGATCAAGTGTTTCCTATCATTGTGAGGTTTTACTATTTTAATATAAAGTTCTTTGTTTAATCTTATGACTGTGCAACCGTTGGTTTTGCAAGCAAAATCACTGTATCAATTTGTCTGATTCCATGCTTGCCACAATAGCTTCAGTCTGTAAGTTGTAAGCTCTAAAGCATGTAAATCTCCAGTTTTGTGTATCGTACCATATGTGTGTCGTTCATTGGACAAACCTGTGTTAAGTGTAACGTTCAAATTGGCCAATGTTTATTTCCATTGATGATTAGGGAAAGAAAAGTTGCATCTTTTATTTTTTAACAACCATATAACACTCGTTTTACTTTGCACGTTCGAATGAGCTGCACAATTTTATAGATCACTTACATTTCATTCGAATCTGTCGAACACTTTATTTCCAACCAAGCACTCTTTGTATTCTCTAATAGTTTCGAAGAAGGAAAAAAAACTCATACACTTCGTTGCACCTTTCGTGACACGGTTCCACTTGTTTCTTATTCATCTACGTATCGAAATCATATTCATTCACGAGAATATCGCGGCATGACACTTTCGAACTTCCATCTCGATAACGTTAACTCTTTTTTTTTTATAGCATAATAATCGTTACTCCTACATTTTTATGGACACGATGATTCATCGTATCAGCTGGTTACACGATTAATGTTCTTTCAGTTGCCAAACGTCACTTCGGCGTTGCACAACATCACCATGTTGATGAAAGGTAACATCGTGTCAGAAGTCAGCCAGGGTAAAGAATCATTCCTGAAGATACAGAAGGATATTCAGCACGCGGTGAATCAAACCATTCCTGTAGTCAGCGCAAGTATTAGAAGAGCCGGAGTCTTTTTAACCGATCTGGCTGATAACATGACGATGCTTATTGACAGAATAAACGTTGACATCGATAAAATTTATATTAAGAACATGGATGTTGTTCGAACACACATTGATCAATATGCGCCATACAGGTAAATTGTAAAAATATGGTAGACGGACGATACAGTATATTACCTTCGATTCAATATTTTCTCGATAAAATTCATTTTTTCTCAGGTACTATCTGGGTCTTGGGATATCGGGAATTCTATTGACCGTTTTAATGTGTCTGACATTTGGTCTGTTCTGTGGAATTTGTGGAAAACGACCTGATGGTTACGGCGACGACTGCTGCAACAAAGGATCAGGTGCACGATTTCTGATGATGTGAGTCCCACGAACAAAATGGTTAAAGATCGTGATGCGATATAACAAATACTTTTATTTCGTGCTATTCGTACTTAGGGCTGTTTGGATTATATTCCTTTTAACGAGCGTTCTAATGGTAATCACCGTTGCACACATGGTTACCGGTGTCCTGGTTCAACGAGCGATCTGCGAGCCTTTGAAGAATCCTCAAGACAACCGAATGTTCGCTCTACTCGACGGAACTGTTCAGATAAAAAAGTTACTGTATCGTAATAATCCGAATGCCGACATAAACATGAGCTATATTCTCACGTAAGTATACCGCGAAACTTTTATATCGGAGAATCGAAAGTCTACAACTGATTTTGGTTTGTTGTATCGCAGAAACTGCCACCGAAACGAGTCGTTGTACAAGGTGTTGAAGTTGAACAATCTGTTCGACGTGGACACATTGCGCGAATACACTGGCCGTTACGATATCAATAACACCATCCAACAATTACGTCGTAAAATTAGTTTATCACCGGGTGTGGTGATTCTCACGGACAGCGCCAAATCGAAGTTGAACGATCTCGCGCAGAGCGGTCTCAGCGACATCAAATTTTATCAATACGCAGAGATCCTTGCCGACAATATCACCAACATCAACTTAGAACATTTGGCAAGACAGTTATGGGAGGTCTCTGCCAAATTACCCGAAGGACAAGAGGACATTCGAGTCAGTTTGGAGAAAAATGCAATGGACCTGGAACATTATCATAGAGATTTGGTAGTGCCAATGTCAACGCTCAGCGAACAGTTAGCCACGAAGGCTTTGGCTCTCGAAGAGAAGATAAAGTTTAATCATAGTTCGATGGCGGATGCCATTCACGACCTCGTTGACGAAGTTACGAAAGCTCAGCAGTTCCTCAACAAAGACGGTCCAGAATACGTGCAATATGTATGTATTTTCCGTTGCGTTTTAATAATTATTAAAGTTATTAAAGCTTTGATTTCTCTTGCAGCTAGCAACTAGATTTGGAAACGCTTTTCTTCGTCAAGTCGATGACTTCCTCGAGCGAGTGATCGATCACGCGCTATTTCACATCGGCAAATGCGCCCCTGTTTCAAACGCGTACAATGCCACGTTAGTCGCAGGCTGTAACAGGATTTTAGATCCGTTTGTGAGTACCAATAAAGTAGATCTAAATGCAAATATATCATTTTCGGAGTATAATCTTTTATTGTATTTCTTAACATATAGAACGGTTTCTGGGCAAGTGTCGGATGGTGTTTAATCCTTTTCATTCCAACCATAGTACTCTGCGTGAAGCTGAGTGCGTTATATCAAAAATCGGACCCTTACCCTGGACCTTTAGTCGAAGCGTAAGTTTCTAATATTTTCACATCGATTAAATCCAAACGATAGATTAAACGCTATTATATGTTTCCAAATTATAATTAAATATCCAACGCATGTCAACCACCAATGCCAGTTATCCTCTTGGTGTGAAGTCAGGGTTACTCATTGTCATTCGTTAAATTTAAAAATTTACGAAATTATGATAGACGCGTAACTTGCAAAAAACCGAGAGATATCGTTAAAATTAAGAACAGAATACTCATTACATCCACTCGAAAACAATCGCTTCCATGATTTCTTCGCTAATTTCTGGCCAACAAGTTCTGAGCACTCCTCATGTAGCAAGTTTTGAGTCTTCTGGTAGTTAATCGAGCTTCCATATATCCAAAAGCATGCATTTAATCGCGCCTGCAATATCTTTTAGTTTTTTTTTAGCCGGCATGAATGTTCCTACTATTATCGTTAGCGAATTTCATGAATTTAAAAACAATATATCATATAGAGATCAGTAAATTTGTATCATAAATGGCAGTGTACTGTCTACACTTACAGTTTCCGTCTCCTCGGTGTATCCACATGCTATTAACTAATTATTTATCCTGTCGATTGTGCGCGAAAACGCAACAGGAAAGAAAAAGTACAATGTTCGAAGCAATGTTCTTTCGTGGCAGGAATTCGACTGTTCGAATTGCATTTTTCGTTCGATCGACTGCGATTTGTGTTTCGCACACATATTTTTATAGTATCAGCAATTGAATCCCTGCCCATGTTTTCGATGCAGTAGTTTATATTAAGTTAAAAGTAGCTGTCTAATGTGTGGAATGGTTGTTGGAATCTAACCGCTAACACGCTCCGTTCCAGTGAATATTTGTATGACGCGTACGCAGACAGGGATAACATACCCCTTACTCAGTAAGTATACGACAAAAGCCAAATTGCTCGCATGATAAATTCTGTTTGTATTGCATGCCTTGGAGATCCTTGATGCTGTAAACACAATTTCAATTATTTGTTTCATTATCCAGTAGCCTCAGTATCCTAATAATCACGCATCTCATATCAGTTCGTTTAGATAGGTTCCATAGATTAAGTATTCTCTTCGATTGCATGAGACGTGGTTAAGGTACTGTAGGATCAAGAGTATCTTTTATAAAATAACTTTGGGAACTTATTTTTCCTGAACGGTAATACATTGAATATTTAATGAATTGGAATTTTAGCCGAGTAAACATTTAATATGGATTCTACAGTATCGCCTTTTCTTTCTTTATTTATTTATCTATTTATTTATTTTTTGTCATTTTTACGCAGTTGAACTTTGGTAATTTGGATCTGAAGGAAATAGATAGCCGCTATCAAAGTTTTATATTGTTATTAAAATATTTGTAATTTTTCTTCGAATCAATATTACAAAGGTTCAATCGTAATGTAATTTCTATTTTTCTCGTTTAATACCTTCTGGGCTACATTGTTTCGAAGCATTATTAATATACAGATGTAGATTAATCAGCCAAATATCGTATTGTAATCCAGAAGGTGTAGTGGAGTATCTTTTAGTATTCCGGTACTAATTCTCGTGTAGTATTGATACGAAAAAGAGAACAGCATTGAAACTATCTTTCTTGCATAAACACAAACACAGGCACACAGTAGTAACGCGAAAACTAGTCTAGCTATTTAGGCTGTCAATTACACCAGTAACACGCAGAAAGAGCTTAGCAAAAAATATATACCGATTTCTCTAACTCGCATGACGAGTCGTCGTTCTACTCACAATTATCCGGATTAAAATGTTTCTTTTGATTACAGTGTTCACGACAAGAAATACGTATCTCATAGTAGAGACCCTTACGCCAAATACGAAAGTTACGATGGGCCTGCAGGAGGATACAGCGAGCGAGAAAGGGTCAATGATGCCCATCAAAGCACATCCCATTATCACCATCACTATTCCAGATATTCTGATGTAGCGCCAAAGTAAGTGTTCTAACCGACATGTTGATAATTTAGATAGAAAGCTCTTAAAGCGACAGGATAATTCATGTTTAAACAAAGATTCGATGTCACTCACGTTGAATTAATTAATTTTCACTCGATTAACAAGGAATTATACCGTCTCTTTAGGAAGTCATTTTCTTTCCAATCATTCCACTCGAATCGTGATCTTACATTTCTCGGATAAAAAATGAAACTCATCGTCTTAACGAAATATAAAAATGCGTAAACCTCAGGGTTAATCGTTAATCGTTAAAAATCGATTTTGGGATCAGTAGGGCTATATAAGAATTTCGACCAATTTCTCTTTTTGTTTCTCCGGTTCACTAGTTCACTTCTGGTTTATTTTACAGTTCAACCCCTTCGTGGCGAAGCCACGAAACTACCGCTCCCTCCAAAACTGAACCTCACAATAAAGTCTTTAGCATATCGATAGAAGCGCAGTAAGTCTTGAATTAATCTCGGAGCGACAATCATAAATTCCGCTTTCTGTGACACGTTATGCAATTTTCTGTTCACTCGGTTCCTCTGTCCGGGACCTGGTCTCTTACTGCCACCAATATTTTTTCATTTTTCTCTTCTCCCTTTTATCGGTGAGCAGGGTTCCCACTCATTGCGCGACATTCTTTGTGCATTCTTTTTTCTCATGTTTTTTTTCTCTCTCTTTTTTTCTGAAACGCTCGATTTAACGAAGGATGGGATCAAGCTCCGATTAAAAAGCTTGCATGGATACCTAATAAAATCAAGATAATATTGAAACTTGATTCATATCAGTAAGTACTTTGAAATCTTTTTTATAATTCAATTAGAAACCGTTATCGATGAATCGAGTGTTCCAATTATTCTTGATTCTATTTGCAATTGTTGTACTTGATCCTATCCCGTACATGTCATTGGAATCCCGATGGTCACGCTTTTTTTCCCGGTTATTTCCAGGTGAGTGGGAACCTTGCGGGGGGGCAACTTCTCGCGTCTCTCGAAACGCCTCTGCACGTAAGTCGCAAGACAGATTTGTTACCAAATGTGTCACCGTACTTCGTTGTCCTTTTTTTCGTTCATATCTTTTGTTCAGATCGTTTGCGTGGCATATAATAGCTTCGCTAAAGCTTTTTGTGGGTCAGGACGAGAAATAGGTTCAATGAGATACGAAAGACTCCCTTGTTTTAAACGCCACGGTCAAATTTCATTCGGTTTCAAATGTACGTAGGTGATTTTCAAAGCAGCATGTCCAAGTCTCGAGGTCAAACCTCGTTTAATTTTCTACAGGACAATATTTACCGTATAAAATTTACTTTAATTTCGCTTCAGCAGCTTCGTCATTCGTTTGTTCGCTAAGGCATATCTACGCTATGGCCAACGATAACTTCGTTCAGTGTTGACAAATTTTCTCTTCCTTTTTCTGTTTTTCTCAATTTTGTTCGCGTCTGACAAAGGGAATAGAGAATAAGTTGCGATCGAGAGATGTAACATTAGTTTTGACTGATGTAGCAATATTATTTTCAGAAATTGTGATTTTCCTAACGGTGGACCTCCTGGATATCAACCAGCTGCAGCTGCTCCGCCGCCTTTGAGCACAGAATACGAAAGACCTCCTCCTTACTATTATTATCCTGGGCCAGGGTAAGTTTCTACGGACCTTCAAATTTCATCTTGTCCATGATGAATTACTAAGTTGTGGTGCAAATAGGACAATATAGTCGAAACGAATGGATGAATCAATCGTAACATAAAATAACCATTTTAATATATTTTTTAGGGACACAAATTAGGAAACAAGTGCCGTGGCATGCACAAAATTAGCGCTCAGTAGCGTGGCTACCCATAGTCTCACTCGCAGTTATAGGAGGACACTCAGAAAGAAAGAGAAATCCAAATGCAGACGAGACTACGTATAATTGTAGCGTTTCTTATTGAGCGTGCCACGGACCGTGCAAACGGCGAAATCACTGAAAGACCAAGTTTAAAACACAGACTGAGGTAGGCTAAAATGGATCCTTCGGCGAGTGCAAGTAGTGTGATCAACGTGTGCGATTTGTTTTGTTTAGTAATTATTGTTTAGACATCGTGTAATAACCACGAGAGAAACGGTACGTTGTATCTCGAATGGTTTTTGCGACTCAACAATCTTTTTAATAGCGTAACAATGTATCCTTTATTTTTGTCCTTTTTTATTACGAGACAAACTGTAATGAAGCGATGATTTACATCGTTTGTGCTATGTTGATCGTTGGACAATCGATATTTAACACGACTGATTATTTACCACCGTTTTGTAACTTTCTTCCCGTAAAATGCCATTTGTGACCAGCATTTTTTCTACTGCTCGAAGATGCGTTGATTTTTTAACAGTGTTTCAAGAATAATTATTCTGAAGTTTTTTACACACATTTAGTACCTAGTTACACACACTCACACACAGGATTGAAATCATCGTCTACATTAATCAGTATTAATGAAAGTTCATTATCGTGCCTCCCTTATTGACCCACTGGCGTACGCTTCTCTATCACTGAACACGAAACTTGTCTATTCAAAAAGTAGCGAACGTGTATATAATTCAGCCGCTTGTGTCTTATGAATTTTCACTGTCTTGTACGCAAACTGCCTACCAACGAACAACAGCAACAACAAAAAGGAAAAATCAAATGCACAGAATTGATTAATTGCGACAATGATCCTACGCCAAGACGTCAATGAGTCGTTGTTACGAATAGACTGTGCGGTCGATTCGAATACGAATCAAAGTCATTTATTCTTTAGAACGAATAAATATCCCGTCGCGTTAAATATTAATTCTCTGCATGGACTAACTCGTATCTTTTCTCTCGATATTATGAATCTTTCTCAATGAAGATTTTTAACAGTATTCAAAAAAAGTTCAAACTTGTTGGATGCATTGTTAAACATCTGATTTAGATGAGACTGCAACGGATTTAGATTGAATATCTCGATGTTTTATTAGATGTAGACAAAAATTTAGCTGCTTACAGATTCGTTCATGAAATTCTGTTCTCTTCAAACGACACTGCCGTCTTGAACGAGTCGTAAGGCAACAACGGTAGCATCGCGTCGATCGTACAGTCTTCAAAAAATATGTATGAACGTTCTTCGAGCGAGCTGGCGACTCGACGGAACAATTCGTCAGAATTTCGAGCACTAAACAACGCCATATATAAATGCCAAACGACAATTTTTCGCGTGGTCCGTGAAGTTTGAACGTTACTTTATGCTGTCTCGAATTTCACGATCCACCGTCCTCGATCTTGCCAAGGATCGTGATCGTATGGTAAAAATCCAAAAATTCACTTCCACTTGAATTCCATTTAACGGAAACAGTGATTTCTCGATAGTGGAAGGCAGTTTCTTGGCAAGATCGTCGTCGCAAAATACTCTATGTACATCGTTCTTTAAGTAGACAAACGTTCTTCTTTTCTTAAATTTATTAACTTCTTCGTGTAATTTACCAATCTGTTCACACCTAGAGCAGTGATGGGCAATTACGCCCGCAAAGATGTGAAAGCCTGGACTTGCAAGCGACGATCACCGAGTAGTAATCTATAGTCGTATTCGTCCGGTTATCTGGAATGGGCAGATGTCTCTGAGTTCCCCTAGAATATAGACTTCTCCTGGACACTCCTTAATTCCCTCTCTAGATTCTCTCTGAATCTACCCATCACTGATCTAGAGGAATATTTGCACGTCGCATAGAGACGTTGTACGCGTTATGTTGAATCTACGCGACGCGAGAATGTTCTCGGTGAACAAATACAGCAGCCACTATGATTGGTAAATCATTTTCTTTTTAACGACGGAAGAATACGATTCTCTACTAGATAGATTCGTTGTTTGTAAGTTATAGATCGTTTAAGGATAATAAAAACCTGTTCGAATGAAAGTCTTTTTGAGAGCTTTAGTGTCTTTAGAGGGAAGCGACCCATTTGCGGTACGACCGCGTTCAAAGGTGCAATCTGATTTCTGGAACAGAACTCGGTAGATAAGCTTCACGTTGAACCGCAAAGGGTTAGTGTAACGAGTTGTAAGTACAGTTTCAAGTTTCACAATTTAGATACTTTAGAAGACAAAACGTCGACTGATAAAAGAGTTCATAACTTGGATCTGGAGAACACTTTACAATTTTCAGTGTTCATCCGAGAAATGGATTCGTACCATTTGGTATCTGAAACTTCTTCTTTGTAGATTCGAGTTGGACAACGATCCCACGTGCGTTCATCGAGCTGTAGAAATTACTGTGCTACAGGAACACGTGTCAGGACGTTGCATTATCGTAGAGAAACTGTTCGTCATAGTTGCCAGGCGAACAGCGATTTTTAATGTTAACATTGTACGGTAGATTACGCCGCCCATGCTACGGTATTTAATTGACCGTTAGTTGATTGCCAAAAGATGAAAAATAAAAAAAAAAGTACTTCCCTCTTGTTGTATGAAGGTGCGAGAACGTGGAAGCACAAAATCATTCGAATCTTTTTAACAATGACGATTAGCAAGGAGTAAATGAGGATCGCGTGCGTGTAAAACATACTTTGAATGGTTGTTCGATAAAACGAGAAGAGATGAAAGAGAGAAAGAGGTTACAGATTTTCCGCTCTATCATTAACTGTATTTACACACACATTTAGTATAGTGGAAAGTAAGCTACGTTTTTAGCGTAATATCGACGATCGAAGAATGCAATATCATCGTCATCGTATGTATGCAAACGGAGAAACCGTGATGTTTCGTTTCTGTTTTTCTTTTTCGTCGAGGAAAGAAGGAAAGAAAGGTATAGAAACGTAATAATCGAATTACTGTGTGGTCTCTATTTTATCCGGTGGACTATATTAAGTAATGTCTCGCATAGTGTACGAAACTAGCCGGAGAACGAGTGCCGCCGTGTGGACATTCGTGTGATGAACACGACTGATAAAAATTGTAATTTTAACATGCCCGTTAAAAGGCATCTCGCGAACCCTTTTTTCTGGTGCTATTTTTATATGGAAAAACGTAGCGATGATTTGATACTAGGCACTCCTTCTCTACGTTCAGAGACGCGACGAGTAAAGTGTAAGATGTAAAACACGAAAGAACTCATTTTACTGCCTTCTAGAAGAAACGACGGAACATGAGAAGACACTTTGCAATCAACTTGCCTGTCGATAGTTTAGGTCCTTAAACGTAGACTGTATCTCTTTGAAAGTTCATTTTAATCTGTATCTTTAAATTGTACAAATGGACTTTATATGTTATTAATAATTTGCTCTAACGACTAGCCAACGAACGTTAAAACCTTAGCAGTTTCGTTATATGTTTTTATATTAACACGGTTTAGTTTAAAAGCGTTAACTATCGACGGGTGACGTATGAGTGTTTAATGATTTCTATGTAACGGTGTTTATATTTTCAAGAGTACCGAAAATTCCTTTGCATTCTCGTGTCTGCTCAATTTTTGGGACTCCTATGTCATTTGAACTGGGTATTCCCGGTCTTCGTTTCTTTCGCTGAACTTCGGCAAACCATTCCATCGGAATTATTTTTAGAAAATTGTAAAGAGCGAACAAGAAGGCTTCCTTGCAATTTTCCAAAAATGTATTCTGTTCTGAAAAATGTCGAATCTTTGATCGAAGATGTGCAAGTATGCGAATGTGGTGTGTACCACTGATTATGGTGTTTTTACGATTCACCGATTGTGTTTGTTAAAATTAATTATTATTGCTATTACGATTATTATTATTATTATTATTATTATTATTATTATTATTATTATAAAATGAGTGTATCACAGTTTAAATATATCTATTTTATATTAAATCATTAACGCCAGGTATTTGTTAATGTTATTCGCAGAAAATTTTAACCAAAATTTATTTATCAGAACTCGAATACATAGTTTATGTATATTATATCACACATATTAACATTCTTTAGATGTTCATTTTATGATAAGGCCGCTTTTACTGATGTAACGATAAGACTAATCCTCTTAATTAGTATTAGCAATTAATTCTATTATCTTTACCCCATTTACGCATTACTCGAATAATTTGTTCCACTTGTGAATTTGAAGTGTTTTTGAGAAGTTGAATGATTTCTGATAAAAGCTCTCTGAAAATGAGTAGAATCATAAACTATTATAGTAAGATAACGCAGGAAGAAGAAACATACTTTGGTTGTCTTTCAGCCACAATGTATTGGAATGTGCCACAACAAGCACCACGTTTTCCTTCCCAGTTTTCTGGACTAGGATCCATACGTTCCAGCAGATCAAACGCTTTCGCTGCATACCAAAATTCGCCAACTTTATAACAGTCATTTGCAATTAATTGCAATAAATTGAATGATTCTGTCGAGGTATCCATCTTTAAATACAAATCCCAGGCCAACTGTGGTTTCTTATTCATTATATCTGCAGTAAAATAAATCAAAATTATTACATAGTACTAGATATAATAAATATTATACATGCTTACAGCAGTGCGCTAAGAGGCTAATGTAGATATAATCATTTTTATATCTTTCATTTCGAATGTTCAAAAAAGCTTCCTCAGCTTCTTTAAAGTAACCTGCTGCTGCCCGTGCCTGAGCATAATTAAAATTGAAATTATCCTCATTAGAGAAGTAGGTCTTGATGGAGTTCAGATATATTAAAACCTCCCCGAATTGATGATACAGAAAGAAACAAGACGCCATACATTGTCTTCCAGGAATTGTATCGCATTCTGATGCCGAGGAACCCACTAGTTGAAAATACTGTTGTGCAGTTTTTATGTTGTCACGCTGGAAAATAATTTTACCGTTAATTCCTTTAACTCATTGACAGAGTAAAAACTTACAGAATTGGTTTCTTGTCCCATCACCGCATTAACTATCCCCTTTAGAATGTATTCCTGTGGTACAGCTGGTTCAAGATCTTTAATTAATTCAAATGCTTCTTGTACATCATCTTGTTTCAAATAATAAATTACTAAATTCAATCTAGCCTCTGGTATAACATCTACTAAACTAGGCAAAATTTGCAAAGCACCTTCACCACCTTTAAATACCTACAAATAATTTTTACTAGGTTTATTAACATCAGGCAAATTCAAATAGTATTTCTTACAACTGTATTATGTCGTATTAAGTCGTGACTGAAGCTAAAGGAATTAGACATTTTTTCTATTAATTGCTTCATTTCATTTTGCGCAGCTGTGCCATTGTAGAGACGAAAATGATTGCATGCTTTTAAATTAACCGCGATTGCGCTGTCAGAGTACTTTTGTAAATAAACTTGAAGAACTTCTTGAGCTGCATCATAGTAGTCCAATTTATAATAGCATAATGCAACATATACGTTTAATGCGAAATACTCTCTGCAAAACAAGGATAACATTTATTTTTAAATATAATTTTATGGTGACACAATAAATTTATAGAAACCATGTTGGAAAAGTAGGATAAGGAAGAAGGTGGATACCTGGAATCATGCAATACTCTAATTAAACGAACATCTAGTTTTCTAACAATTGTATCATCTTCTATACTAACTGAGTCATCACTGTCTGAATCACTAAGCAGTAATATGATTTAGGTCAAAGTTTGAACTATTTATTTGTAAAAAAAAAAAACAATTTAACAACCTATTTTCCAGTAGAATCTTTTTATAAACATCAATTGCTTCCTGATAATGAGCTCTAAGGTAATGAATAGATGCCAAGCACAACTGATCTTCTATTACATCCTCAAGCATATGAAGATACTCCATTAACTTTGATTCATTGCCCATTTTATGAGCTAAATGAAATAAAAGTCTGTTCTTCAATTTACTGTATGGAGCATCCTCCAAAATTTGTTGAGATTCAGGATACATTCCAAGATAAAAATAACAACATGCTAAATTTGTGGACACATCTGCCGGTACTTGTTCCTTCTTCTTCAAACTTTCGTAAATGATTGCTGCACGTTTGTAGTCCCCCAGATGGAAAGCACAATAGCCCATCCATAGTTCAGAGTTTAAATTGTTCTCTGAAGCGTTGTTGAATTCTAGAAGTGTTAAGGCACCAGTGTAATCACGCTTCTCCAAGAATTCTTCTAATTTAGGAATCCTTTTTTCAGATACAGATCTTTTCACTCCCTCTGAAGAAGCTGGTTTAGCTCTTGACAATATCTGTTGCAATTTATCATTATATGCATTAGAACAATTTAATGAAAACAAAAAAAAGGAAAGACAACAGGTAATGTAATGTTTACCATTTTCAGTCATCTGTTGCTAATAGAAACATAAATTTATTGATTACCTTAATAAAAACATAAAGTGTATAGGGTGGTAAATTTTATATACACTAAAATAGTAATTCTTGTGAAAAAATTATCCAATCATATTCCCACTTTTTTATGAGTGCCAATTTTACATGAAATAATTTCAAATTAAATTTCTTTAGTTTTTTAACTACACATTATAGATGTCACTTTAGCCGCGGTAGATTCAAGTAACTTTAACTAAAGTTTCAATATGTCATTTTTGTTTAGTTTTGCAAAAGAATCTATGTAAGAAATAAAAGTTTATATCACGGAATATTTATGTTTAATATCGTCGTTAAATTTAAAAAAAATATTTATATATTTTGTCATGATAAATATTTCGTTTATAAAGGATAATTCTGAAAATGTATCTTGCATTTAAAAATAATTTTAATTATATTATTCTAAGATTTAAGAATTTATATAAGAATTGCCCCTCTTTAAAACGATGTTTCAAGAAACATATTAGTCAGAATGCGATCGACTGTCGTCGAGGTTACATTGCCGGTGGTGCTATTTCATTTCTTTTCGTAATGTTGGAAGGTGTCAAACATGTTTTATTAGTGCTCTCTGGTAAAGGTGGTGTCGGAAAATCAACCGTTAGCACACAGTTAGCTCTTGCTCTCAAAGAATCAGGATTTCGAGTGAGTCCTTTTATTTTTATATAGTTTTAGGTTAGATTGCTTACTTGTCAAAAATGTTTTAGGTAGGTTTACTCGATGTTGATCTATGTGGGCCCAGCGTACCTTATCTGTTAAATTTGGAAGGCAAAGATGTTCATCAGTCATCTGATGGGTAGTTAAATAATATAAATTCTCTTTCATTGGAATATAAATTCACTCTTTTTTGTCGAACACTGTATATTTCTTCAGTTTCTGTTTACAATATATAATGTTCAAATGGAACTGAATTTAATAGTACACGGTTGTCAATATTTCTTTAACATTATAATTGTTGTAGTTGGATCCCAGTGTTTGCAGACAAAGAACAAAAATTGGCTGTCATGTCAATAGGATTTTTATTAAAAAATCAAGATGATAGCATTGTTTGGCGAGGCCCAAAAAAAACTGGAATGATCAAACAATTTTTAACTGATGTTGTTTGGCAAGATATTGACTATTTAATCATTGATACACCACCAGGAACATCAGATGAGCATATAACAGTGATGGAAAACTTGAGGTATTGTATTATATATATATTTCCAACAAATTATAGAAAACAATGTAATGTTTTGCTTCATAAATTTCTAGCAATAGCGTCATGTGCTTCTGGTTGTTCACATGTGACTATGATTAATAATCATGTGACGTCCAAATGAAGCATAAACTCTAGTTAGATAAGCGATTGGTCATAAGATTGATAAGCTTACATATTTTTTTAAAGCCTGTAATGCAGTAGAATGACATCATGTTGTATATCACTGATCAAGTTATACTTTTTGATTATAATTAAGTAATAATATATTACAGAAATGTTAAATGTGATGGTGCACTAATAGTAACTACCCCACAAGCAGTTGCAGTAGATGATGTTTTGAGAGAAATAACATTTTGCAGAAAAACTGGCATTCATATATTTGGTATCATTGAAAATATGAGTGGTTTTGTCTGTTCATCCTGTTCGGTTTGTATACAGTATTTAATTTGTATTATAACAGTGCATTTCATTGCTTGAATAAAGAATAACAATTTTAGGAATGTACAAATATATTTTCGGCGGGTGGAGGAATAGCTCTTTCAAAAATGGTAAATGTACCATTTTTGGCTAAATTACCTATAGATCCTCAAGTTGGAAAATTGGCTCAAACGGGTCAGAGTGTTTTGGTAACATTACCAGATAGTCAAGTAGCACAAGTGTTTCGAAAACTAGTCGAAGAACTTACCAAGAGCAAAGAAGCGTAAGAGTGAAATTTTTAATTATGTGTTGCTAGAAATTTCCACTGAAATACAATACTTGCTCATAATCTTACAATTAATTTTGATCTTCTGAGAACAGTAATATAATGCATTTTTTTTTTATTATTTTATGATAAGCGTTATAAATTAATTTCACGAAAAAGGAACACAAAGTTTAATTATGGAAAATATATATATATATTTCATGACAGTGTGACATACACCGTAAGATTGTAAAATATTTGTATTGTATACACGTAATTTGTGACATGAAAAAAAATCTTAATCTACTCGCATTTTATACAAAAGAGGTAGAATGTACAGATATAAATACAATGATTTTTACATAATAGCACGCGGACATGTTCTATATCATGATTGACAGGGACGTGGATATATTTTGAATCTTTTGTACAAAAGTGTGAATAGACCAGTATATCATTGTACAATGTATATACATTAAAATCTTTGTAAATTTATGTATCGCTCTATTTACAGTCTTTTCAAACTAATTATTACCTTATTATTTAAAATTTTTAAATGAAGCGCATATATTAAAAAACAAATAATAAAAAGAAATATATATTTTCCTCGTATTTAATGTTCTTTGCGAAATAATGAAAACTATTGATCCGATATTCGCTTCTCGTAAGCTGCCCAAAGTTCCTTTTTATATTCCAGTGTTGCAGACAATTTATCCTGTGCTTCGGTAATACCTCTACCGACCACGGTCAAATCAGCCCCAGAATTTATAACTGATTCTGGCGTATTATATTGTTGTCCTAAATTGTCGGAACTGTTCGACATCTTTATTCCAGGTGTTAATTGAATAAGTCCTAAATTCGAGAAAATGTTTGACTGACAAACAATACCGGTTACCATATCCGAACTTCGTGCAATCGATATCGCACTTTGCGCGTATTCACTATTTGTCAAAGCATCTTTAGAAGACATTTCTGCTAATATAAAAATACCACGGGGTTCGTTTATACATTTTAAACCATGTTTCAAGCCATTGATGATGCTTTGTCCAGCGACTGCATGAACCGTAACAATATCCGCCCATTCGGATATTTTGTATATGCCTTTTTCGTATTGCAAAGATACTGTGTTACCAATATCGGCAAACTTTCTGTCTTCCATCAATAAGAAATCGTGTTTCTTAGCTAATTCTTTTAAACGTTTTATAAAATCATGATTAAAATCATCTATTATATCTACGTGTGTTTTAAGCACTACAATGTGCGGTCCTGTTAAATCTGCTATCTCTAAAATCGCGTCCACTTTAGTTAAATCTACTGCTAAACATATAGTAGATTGTTTTGCTTCCATTAAATTAAAAAGCTTGGATGCAATTTCATTTTTAGCTTTGGTTGCACGAACATGGAAAGGGGTCTTCAATCTTTTCTCTGGAATGTCTAGAATGAAAAATTTAAGTTATTAAATTTTAAGTAAGACAAAACTTATTAGCATTAAAAACATTACCTTGAACAGAAACAATAGGTGCTTGGTATTTCAACAAATAGTCTGTTACTTCTTTCACAATTTTTGGTGTAATTTTATTAGTCTCTAGAAGGTATGCCATAAGCCTGGTGACTGTATACAGACTTCTCACTTTTATTCCATGATTTTCAATATTTTTCTTACCACCTTGTTCTCTATCAATTACCACAAAAGCTTCTGTCACTTTTAAACCTTCTTTTCTTAAGGCATGTACTGTTTCTAAGATACTGCTACCGCTTGTAACCACATCTTCGATAATTATACAATGATCTCCTGGCTTGAAATGTCCCTCTATCATTTTCTTTGTGCCATATGCTTTTGCTTCTTTCCTTTTAATCAACATTGGTATATCAGAATCAACGGATATTAAAGTAGCTAAAGGTAAGGCTGTATAAGGGACACCACAAATCTGATCTACTTTCGAGCAGTCTTCTGCAAACTTCCATAATATTTTAGCCAAACGAGCCTATTTAATGTACGACAATAATTAGTAAAAAAAATCAATTTCAACTGTAAATTAATATTAAATGTCTGTAATTAATGCTTATAATTAATAAATCTTACCATTACTTTTGGGTACGAAATTATTACTCGTAAATCAAAGTAGACTGGTGTTTTTAGACCAATTTTAGTTGTAAATTCTCCAAATTTTAATGCGTTTATTTCATAAAGTGAAATAGCTAATTCTTTTAATTCCGCATCCATCGTATATAAATTCTTCGACATGTTGCTGGTTTTCTTATAAATGTACAATATATAAAGATAACCTCGAAATGATACGGTGGCAGATATTTAGATAAGGTTAACTTATTATTTTGACGGCAGGATATTACTTTTCTCTTTGAATCTACGTTTTTAAAAGATTTTCAGTTTTCGAGATATAAAAATAATTAACTCTGTAGTGGTGTCACATATACAATTGTGTACTTTACTCTAATATATTGAATCTTATCTTTACGCGAATTTACAGGTTACACCCGGCAGTACATTGATTATTTGAGATTGCAGAATTTAAAGTTTGAGTGCACATGAAATTTGTACATAGCAAGATTTTTGTATTTATTTTTAAAATCGTGAAGGTCAAAATAAACATAACATTACATATATATTAATAATATCTTTTTATTTTTGTTATTCAATATTGCTGTTGTTATAAGTGAAAACTGGATATCCGTCAAAATGATCGAATGCCGGTAAAAATACATTATCGCACTACGTGCGATAATATTCGAATTGATAAGTATTTTAGTTTCAATGTTTTCGTTTTATTTATTTCCCCAGCCCCAAAGACCTTTAACAAATCCTGTAAGACCAGCTTGTCCGGTTTTCTTAGCTTGGTCACCAAGTTTCTCACTTAAATCTGGAAATTCAACCATATTAAAAGCTAAATCGAAGAATAGCGGTTTGCAAGGTATAGGCTGCATAGATGGTGGTAGTTTATAAACATTAGGTTGTTTAGTAAGAAGTGCAGGATCTTCTCTGTACTCGTGCAGACGTTCGTACAAAGGCTTCTTCGTTTTCGTATATTTATTTAGTCCAGATTCTTCTTCTTGTTCTTCTTCCAAAACACTGTGTGCATGTGCTGCGTACTTGGCACTTTCTATAGATGTCTCCAGTTTTTCCAGAGTATTCCTCAACGATTCCGGAAGCGCTTTGCCATATCCTAACGCGTCTTGAACGTGTTGCGCGGATCTTTGGTACAAAGCCATTGCTTCTCGCCATCGGTGAAGATTTGCCAAAGACTGCGCCATGTAGTAACACCTGAAGGCTCTGTAACCTTTGGTTTTAGCTTCCTGTTCGCGTAGAAATTCTTCGTCGTCCTGTAATTGCGATATTTCCACAAGATTGTGAAGCGTTGCTTCGTACAGTCGTACGATATCCTGTGGTTTCGCTTTTGCAGATTCTTCGGCTGCTTTGATTAATGCTAGGTTCCTCTCTAGGGTACGCGACAGTCTAATGTATTGCAAGTAATTGATTAAATGTTGTGGTGGCGATAGTTTATCGTTATCTTTACTTTTCAATTCGTTTTTAAAGGAATCTCGCACAGCCGAGATCGCATCTTTACAATCTATCAAGTGTGCTTCCAACAGTTCGATTTTAGATTGATTTGTGGCCGCTTTCTCTAAAGTTTGATTTAATCTCGAATCAGCAATCAAAAGACCTGCCGCTCGAGGTGGAACAACGCCACATGTTTTTCCACGCCAGGTTACTTCTTCCGCGCTCGATTGCTTTTCACGTGTTTGTGCTATCAGCGAATCTAAACTAGCTAGTAACTCTCCGCTTAGTTGACCCCTCATTTGCATTAAATCATCTATGGCAGTGGTGTCTCCGATATTATAGGCACAGTATCTAAGGCTAGGAGTAAGTTCCTCAACACGTGCATTGTACATTACTTGCTCAGATTCTGGTAATGCAGAAGCCAGTTTACCATATACTACTTGAGCCTTTTTTAAATTCTCCATAGCTTTTTTCCACAGTTGTAGTTCAAAGTGTAACGAACCATGTATCCATGCTGTGTATGCTTGAGCTTCTAATTTTGTCCTCGCGTCGCAATTAACATTCTGTGAAAATTATTTGTAATGAAAAATTGATATTGTTTGACAGTAAAAAATTTGACTCACCTCTATTAATTCCTGTAACTGTAAAGAATATGTTGCAGCTTTCCTTAATCTGGATATTAAATGAAACTTTTTTCTTGGTTCTGTATTAGACTCTTGACGTAGTTGCATCGCGTAACTCCAAGCTCTTTCAGCCATCATCAAAGGAACTTGAAGAAATTTATCGTCTGTAACCATCACTGACGTAATATCTTTCCTTTTGAAATGTCGTCTATCCCCTTGTGGAACCTTCAACACTTTTCTTAGACGTCTGAGCCTTCTGGAGCAGTAGCCACGATACCGTTGATAATCACCGTGTCTTAACCCATGTTGTTGTTGAGCTTCTTTTATTATTTTTAAAACTACATAGCTGTTAAGTGTTCATATAATTATACAGATGCTCATGGATTAAAAGAAGATTGTTAATTATTCATGTATGGCCTGAAATATGTGTTTATATAAATATAAACAAAAACATTACTACAATTTTTAATGTAGTTTTATATAAATGAATACTCTTCCCATAGTTTTTCAAATACACCATGAAAGAAACAGGTTAGGAAATGACATATGGCACTGACAGAGTTCTGTTTATGTTTAAAAAACTTTTTGAAAAGGATACTTTCCAACGAATACGTCTTTTGTTCTTTCGATAGCGCGTCATCGTTTAGCTGATTTTCTTTCAATGATTCGCTATTTTTCTCCTCGATAACGATGACCATCGTACTTTATCCACGTATCCAATTTTTAGCAATTTTTTTACTATGAACATGAACGCTGAAGTGCAAACTGGTTTCCCTAGGGAAAATGGCGCCCAGAGGGTAAGACTTCCTTTTGAAAGCGATAACTAATAAAATTTTTGTAAGTAAATGTTCACTTTTGGAAGTACGCGATTGTATTGCACACTTTATGTTTAAGAAAGGTGATTCTAGGAACAACATCTTCATAATAATTACCTTACTTCGGTAAGTTATAATTTTATATTCGAATTTACATTCATGACAGATGTGTCGCGGCGATTAAATATGTAAAGAAAGTATCAAAAACAATAGATTATTGCGAAGTAACTACTTTGAAACACTCAAAACATTTCGAAAATTTCGTTTTATATGTATTTTAAAATATATTTTCGTGCGCACTGTTGTAGTACATTACTATTGGCGTCATCTACTGGCTAAATACCAAACTACGGGAACATTAAAGTGCTTGGCCATCTAACGGTAAACTACGATACCAACGCCATCTTGTGGTTAGTGTTTCGAAATTACGCCTGGTAGCAGGATCGCATGAAAGGAGAGGAGGTGTATAACATTGATAAAGAATAATTAGTTGCGCGTTTTCTGAATACAATTTACGAACTTTTATGAGCGAAGAACGATTAGTGATTTACTACCTACCTTCTCCTATTACATTTATTCACAGTTTTTATTGAAAGCGATTAGTTACTGATATTTCGTTGTAAATGCAATAACAGTATGTCCCTTTCAATAAAAATCTGAACACCTGCAATACCAGAAAATAGATAATAAATAACTGATCATTCTTCTATCATAAATATTCGTAAATTGGATTTAAAAAACAAGTAATTAATTGTTCATGCACATCAATATAATCCTTCATTTCGAGAGACGCCATGTTGGAAGAGCAGAGGCACTCCGGTTTTCCTGCGCATGCCCGAGGCCACGTTGGGTGGGGGTATCCACTTCGGTTATGCTGCACATGCGCGACGCCATATTAGTTGGGCGGAGCCACTCCTCTTCGACCGTGCATGCTCCACCCCTCGTTGGGAGGGCGGAGTCACTCTTCGACTGTGTACGCTCCACCCCCTGTTGGGAGGGCGGAGCTACTACTCTTCGACTACGCATGCGCGCAGCTTAGCGGGAGACCAGCTCAGACCTGCTTGGCGTACCTCCTCTCCTTTCATGTGATCCTGCTACCAAGAGTAGTATCAAAACACCATCCGCTAGATGGCGTTGGTATCGGAGTTTGACTTTAGATGGCAATAGTTGTATTATTCGCCAACAAATGCAATCACTACTAACATTGTCGCTGTAATATGCGTCAAATTGTTTCAAAGAGCAGCAACATTAGTTAACATTAGGACTTTTTAAAGGTGTTATAATATCAGTATTGCCTTTAAATGTACAAGGTGCAATGGAAGTTTTATTTTTCGACAAAATGCCATTTTCTGCTCTTCTAATACTGCGTTCCTCCGTTAGATGGCGCCGGTGGGATCGCGTTCGCAGAGCGCTTGAGAAAATATAGATTTAAAAATGTATTTAGGTATGTATTCTCAGTTTTGCAAGTAATCGTGCACATCTAATAAATTATTTAACCTATTTCAATAATAACAGATTCGATTTTTATTGTGTTACAGGACAGGTGATACCTTTCTCAACAACACCAACAATTCTGGGACACGGTTACAACACCGATGAACAAAGAAGAAATGAAAATCCGTTTATTTTAATAATAAATATAAGGCTTATTGTTATCATAGTATTATAGACTAGTTGTTTAAGAGTTGCACAAATTTGTATGACACATAGCTGTAAGTTTAAATATAAGTGAAAAAGATATATGTATTTTCAATGTAAAACTGGCACATATCAGAAAGTTTAAATAAATGCAAAATAAACAGTATTCGTGGTGTATTTATTTAACATTACCCTATGCCCAAAAAAACACCAATGGACGAACATTTTTCAATTCCAATTGTCGATTCTGATAGAATTTTATTATATATCAGGAGAACATAACAGACGAGGAGGTGGCACGTAAATTTTTCGCTTTTAAAATCCAAGTTTTTAAATTTGGTATCAGGAGAACATAACAAACGAGGAGGTGGCACAAAATTTTTCTCTTTGAAAATCCAAGTTTTAAAATTTGGTATCAGGAGAACATAATACAAGAGGAGGTGGCACAAAAATTGATCGAACCGGGAATTTTGTATCAGGAGAACATAAGTTCTGAGGAGGTATCCTTTGTGCCACTTCCTGGAATTTTCATGACGTCAAATTCCAAGAATTCCCGGGCGGGATTTTTGCAGGTCCACCGACCGATTTTGGAAATTTGTATCAGGAGAACATAAGTTGTGAGGAGGTATTCGTGCCACTTCCTGGAATTTTTGTGACGTCAAATTCCAGGAACGCCCGGGCAGGATTTTTGAAATTCCACTGACCTATTTTGGAAATTTGTATCAGGAGAACATAAGTTGTGAGGAGGTATTCCTCGTGCCACTTCCTGGAATTTTCATGACGTCAAATTCCAAGAATTCCCGGACGAAATTTTTAAAATTCCACAGGCCAATTTTGGATATTTGTATCAGGAGAACATAAGTTGTGAGGAGGTATTCGTGCCACTTCCTGGAATTTTTGTGACGTCAAATTCCAGGAACGCCCGGGCAGGATTTTTGAAATTCCACTGACCTATTTTGGAAATTTGTATCAGGAGAACATAAGTTGTGAGGAGGTATTCGTGCCACTTCCTGGAATTTTAATGACGTCAAGTTCCAGGAACGCCCGGGCAGGATTTTTGAAATTCTGGCGCCCGATGTTGGAAATTTGTATCAGGAGAACATAAGTTGTGAGGAGGTATTCGTGCCACTTCTTGGAATTTTCATGACGTCAAATTCCAAGAATTCCCGGGCAGGATTTTTGAAAGTCCACCGACGGATTTTGGAAATTTGTATCAGGAGAACATAAGTTGTGAGGAGGTATTCGTGCCACTTCCTGGAATTTTCGTGACGTCAGATTCCAAGAATTCCCGGGCGAGATTTTTAAAATTCCACAGGCCAATTTTGGAAATTTGTATCAGGAGAACATAAGTTGTGAGGAGGTATTCGTGCCACTTCTTGGAATTTTCGTGACGTCAAATTCCAAGAATTCCCGGACGGGATTTTTAAAATTCCAGCAACCGATTTTGAGAATTTGTATCAGGAGAACATAACAGATGAGGAGGTGGCATAAAAATTTTTCGGTTTGATAATCCAAGTTTTGAAATTTGGTATCAGGAGAACTTAATAAGTAGTGATTTAATATAGGGAAGGATAAAGGGATTGGATTTGTTAAATAATGTAGTACACTAAAAAATCTTTTTGATTATTCTTTATTGTTGAAAAGTTTAGTTTACATTTACATTGTGTTACAAGCAATCTAATATATATGTATAATGTTGTAATAACTTATTCTAAGTAGGTTATACAAAAAAAGTATATTAACAAAATAGTACTAGTAGTATTTGAAGAGTTTGTCCTGAAGGTGCCTACGTCGAAGAAGTTTCGTGTTAAATTGGTAGTTGTTCCTTTTGTAGCGCCTTCCACGAGTAGAAATTCTCACTTTCTGCAACAGAGGAATGATCATTTTTATAATAATTAAATAATATTCTAACATTGTAAATGAAAGTTTGTAAATGAAATGTAGAGTTGCACGTGTACATAAAATGTTTTTGAACGATACTTAACATGAGAATGGGTCCATTCGAACGAGAAAGCCACGGCGTAGTGAAAAGGAACACTCTTCTCGTCTTGCGAATCCGCCGCGATTATGCAAATGATGCATTAAAGTGTATATATACCATCGAAACACGTTCGACATTCTCCGGGAAAGTGCATTCGCAAAATGCTACGTCGTATTGACCGTTGTTTTTGTGATCTTGAGAATCGAGAGTCGTTCCGACATATTATAATTTTCATATGTAATTGTCATTATACGGCGGAAGAAGTCTCTGGTTTTCTCTGAAACAAGAAGAAAGAGTTTAAATATCGGTATCAATATCAACATCTGAGTATAGGTTTTAAATTTAATTTTTAAATTTACTGGGCATGTATTTATGTACACGTTTTTCGTATAATCGCAATTTCGAACAATCAAACAACGCGTTAAATCGTAAAATCACACACCGACAAACAAAAGCTAGTTTAGATTATGAGTTTTCCATTAGAAGCGTTCCATTCGGTGTCTCGTAGCAGACTGACTGCCCTTGCCGGTGTGCTTGTCCTTAATTGGATTGGTTCTATTACTGCGATATTACGCGTGTGCTTTAGATCTCGTCGAAAATTATTGAATGTTACTGACGAAACAAAGAAAAAATTCGATTCTATTTTACGTATGTATAATAGGCGACGAAAACGTAAGAACTGTACGCTAATATAAGGCTACGATATATGTATGTATAAAATATATTATTGTTGCGGGATTTACAGCGTCGCGACAAAGGGAAGTAACGTCAAACGAAGTCAGCCCTTCGTTTACGGTCTACAGAGGAAATTCGAGCTGTCAGGAAACAGACGTCCTGGCTGGGACGTCTAACGTCATAGGCAAACCCGAGATCGCGTAATTAACAGGATATATCCTTCCCAATCCACCCTAGTATCGGTGGAAAGGGTTCTCTGTCTTGCAAACAGGGATTGAGATCGTGTTACGCTCCTGTCGGTTACAGGAACCACTTGCCAAAGTCACCTAAGACGATTAACAAGATTGATTGGAATCTGGAATCCTTGTTTCGTTTCTATAACCATTGCGTAGATTCTATTTTTTTTTTTTTGGTACTATCGTAATCTCGTTGATACCGTGTCAGACGTACATGTATATACGAAATTAGATACGATAACTTTCGATTAAACGAGAGATTTAGTTTATCCTGTAACATTAATCGGCGAGCGTTAATTTTAACGTCGAAATTGCAATTTATAAGATCGAAAATTTGCGCGAGTTTTCGATACAAACGAAGCGAAACGTTTAATATTTAATATTTCGTTGATTAGAGTTTACGCAAACTTTGACTAGTTAGTACCGTAATGAAATTACGTCGTAATTTAATCATTTTTTGAAATTTGCTTCCGAGAAATTGACGAACGTATCGATTAACTAAAAAGACGTCGAAGATAAAAAAAATGTATTCCCGGTCTACTTACTATTATACAAGTATTTCTATTTTAATCAGCTGCCAATCATTTGAAATTTCCTAGATTCATAATTCATCTCTGAATAAAGAAGCGATTTAATATCGACGTTAACGTAACGAACGTGTGCATTATTAATATCCGTTTTAAAACAGATCGCATCGTTATCGATAATGAGTCGAGATTAAAGAAGAATCTGAAAATCCATGTTCGCGATCGTTTAATAATTTTAAGCTCAGAAATACATCGTGATTAAACGCACGGTTGTTGCAAGAAACGGAAACTTCGTTCTGTTCGCGCAGTTTTATTGATCTTACGTGAAAATTTCGTCGTTTACTTTAGCACGTGAAGGTGGAAACTTTCGGAGAACGAAAGTTTCCCTAGAAATAAGGGTGCTAACCGCCCTGGGATAAAGTGGCAGACTACGTACGCGCGAGTTATACCTGTATCCAAATGAAACTATTAACTTTCGTACAATGCTCGTAGAGAAAAATTCTGTTTTCCTTTCCGTTTGAAAATATCTCGATCGATTTGGAAATTCGTCGCTTCGATTATAGAGTATTTTAATAGCTTATCGTAATATGTAAATATAATTTTAGAGGATTCGTCGAATGTAGGATTTTGAAGACAACTTCCAGAAAGATTCAACGATGAAAACTATAAATTTCGCGGAAAAGAAGAAAAAGAAATTCAATGGTAGATCGAATCGACGGGATGGAAATAAAACGTTCCAGGGTCTGATGGTTAATAACGGAAGGAACAGCGAAGATGGTCTGGAAACTCTTAAATTTTGCAGCACGACGTAATTAAAAGACCCACTGAATCTTTCAGATTCGCTTAATGAAACGCCGTGAAAATTGATTTTTTACCTCTTTTGGCCCCATCTTTCTTTCCTAGAACAGTACGACATCGCTGAACACGCTCGATTCTCGATTTTAATAATTCCAAGGTTTAACAAATGAAACGAAAAGAAAAATCTCTTATAAATGCAAGAGTTTTGTTAACGAATAACGAAGATTATAATCGCGACCGAAAACACCGTATTCTTTTACGAGGAAATTGGTCTTGTTCGATGAACGTAAAATTTTTAAAAGTTCGACGATTTTGAAAAATTTCAGATTTCGCGAAGAAAAGAGCCGAGAAAATATGTAGATCAAGTATTTTTAATGGTACATGATTGTCCGTTCTTCGAGTGCGGTCGAAAGAAGTAAAAAAGGAGGCGAAGAAGTTTGATCGGTAATATTATTAAAGTAACAAGTCCAACGGGATGTTTAAGCTTCCGGGCCAAAGTTGGGTGAACTTCCGAAGAAATTACAATATTGAATCGCGCGAAATTAATTCTGGAGAACTCTTTATATTCGCTTCGCTTTGTTCGAGACAAACGAGCGAAAGAAAAATAAAGTATAATAAATGGCTTTAACATAAGAAAGTTACGCGCGAATCATTTGAAAATAGAAGAAAACTAGGGAAGTAAACTGTTTTTCTAGCGACTTTATAAGGTTCTTTTAGGTGAAATAAGAAAAGGAAGCGAGAGGGAAAGAAGGAACTTTCAGACGGTTTCCGGTATTTCGAATTTCAAAGAAAGTACACTCGAAAGATTCTTCAACGGAGCTTTTTTCTTTTCCTCACTGACCAGACAGAGAAAAAAAAAATCCTCTTACAAGTACAGGTGCACTTTCGAAACGTTCACATAAGTATCATGCGTACGAAAAGCACACTCTTTACAAAAGACGCCTCTCACGCATACATGAAAAAACGCATCTATCTCTTTCGATTTTCCATGAAAATTCGACTTCCGTAAAAAAATCTGACGCTAGATTTTATCGCGAGGAACTGTGGCTCCTTCGATTCGTCGAGGAAAAACGATAAATCGCAATTTCTTGGTGGGTTTCGTCGATTCGGAACGATCGAATCGAAGTTAAATCGTCGATAAAATAATAGGACGATGACGATCGCGTCGGAAAAAATATTTTGGCTCCGAAAAGCGATATCGATTTTTCCCTGGTATTCTATGTACACGCAAAGCTGTACGTTTTTAATTCCTTCCTTTCTCGCGTACTCTATAACGATACATACACTATGTACAGTATCTTTTTGTACAATGTTCTCTTAACAAGTTAGGACATAAACAACGAAAAGGAAAACAAAAGAAGAAAAAGAAAAAAACGTAACGATAATTATGCAGACTAGGATACATTTTGCTGACAGAGGAATTGAAAATTTTCAAACCGGGAGTACCGATTATCTATCCGATAAGGAGTCGATTTAACGATTACGTTACATTGTACGAACTACTCGTAGCGCGTGAAAATTCAAATAAAAATCGATAGGCGCGTATCCTATATTCTGCATAATTATAAAGAGAAGAAGAACATGCTCTCGTAGCTCGACGAATAACAATTTTGTAAAAAGTTAAACGAAGTCGAAGCTCGGCGGCTCGGTGATCGATTCAGATCGACCAGCGATAATTAAAGCTACAAAGTTTCAAAACATGGATCAACGATAAATATCGGCCGATAACCACGATAATTAATAGACTCTTTTTTTAGATTCGGTCGGTCGATATTCGTCGCTCAAACGTTCACCACTAGCCTTTTTGTTACACGCAAATAGTCCAATTTTTTTTTTTTTACAAATTCTTTTTACAGGAAGTTGCGAGCGAAAAATCAGCCGGTCTCGCTTTCGAAGAACGGTCCGAACGATCGTTTCACTGGAAAATCTGGATAAGGCTAGGACGCCGCGTTCTCGGTTCTTTCGTGCACAACCTGGCTCGAATCGTCGCGATTTATACAGTCCCTGATGGCTTGAAGCACCATGCGCACCCTCCTGTCGAGGGCAGTAAAGTGGGGTTCCCATAATACCGGCGCTACGGGGTCCTTTGCCATGCTTTTTCGTAACGCTTCGCTCAATGGCACTGGTCCGTTATGAAATCTGAAAAAAGAGAAAACGGTTATCAACGTTTCCCTTAAACTTTCCTTTAGTTCTTTTAATTCCTTTCATTTCTCGTTATTATTAGTACTTTATCGAATCGATATAAGCGCGGAGTAACTCGACGAGTCCGTGGACGACGTTATAGGTCGATAAAATTTCGAATCGTCGAATCGAGATAAATTCGATTCCATAGAGGGTAAAAGTTTTGAAATTGGCGAACGAATAATTTGACATCGAACGAGCAAAGCGTCGACAGATTAACGATTACTTTGTACCTTAACGATGCAAAGAATTTATGCGGCGATGCGAGTTCCTCGTTCGACCCCGATAAAAACATGGATCGTAAACAAGCGAGAAAACGAGAGTAAATCTAAAACTGCTCGCGGCAGGCAGGCAGGCAGGCAGGCAGTCCCAATGCTCGAGAGGCCAGCATATTTAAGAGAATAGCTCGGAAATAAAGCTCTTCCATTAAATACAAAAACAACGTGCTACGATACCGGTAGAATAAAGAAAAATTTTACTCCCTACGGAGATCATTATCAAACGGTATAAACGGAAAATCGTTTGGAAGGTTCGTTAACGATTTACCGAGGAAAAAAAGTTCTGTTTCGATCCCGAACGGGATCCTTCCGACTGGAAAAACACTGTATCGTCGTAAGCTTTCAATATTCACGGAATCAAAGTACCCCGAACGTTTTTAATAAACATGCAAATCCGTGGATGCAGAAGTCGTCGGACTCGAAAGATTAAAAAACGTGACCCTTCGCGGCGCGTCGGCGGATTGATCATGTCAGCAGCAGTAGCAGAGGAATTTTTCAATAAAAATGCAAATGCCAGCAGGGTAATTAGAAGTTGGCCGTAGCGGTAAAACGCGTTTTGTCCGACAACTTCTCACCTTCTCGTTCGTCTCCCGAACCGTTCGCAAAATTATACTCTTGGAAATATCTTTCGAGCTGCTCGAACGTCCTTCGAGATTTCGAGAGACACGGTCCGACGATAATGGAAGATCTGGCTCTTCCTTGCGGAACAGCCGATGAATAAAGTATCGACTTAAGCGGACGCGACTCGGCAATCCTATTTCTACCACTCTTATCTGTACCGGGTGATCCGTTTAACTTTCGTATTTCGAAACGCGCGAATTTCGCTTTTTACGATTTCGCGTAACCGGTCGTTAATCGGTTCGGAAAGGCTGCAGTCGGCGAACACGGTTTCTTCCTGGCTCTCGCCTACTCGTGATCGTAAGTGGGATTACTTACTTATGGACGGATCGTTTTTAACGGAACACCGTGTACACGAGGGCACACACGTACACGGTTAGGGGTACGTATTCCCGAAGAAAAGCACACGAGGATAAAAGTATTTTTCTGGCTGGCTACTTTTCGATGTCACCGGGGAACGCAGAAAAGCACGCTCCCGACGAGAAAAGGATAAAGACTCGATCGAACAGCTTTTATACCATTTGTACGATTATGGTGTTGGAGAAAATTGATGGTCCTAAACGACGAATCCATTTAATATTTATCCGATCGAAATTTCAGTCAGCTATCGTGTCTCTTTAAAAATTTATCTTTCGTATTCTTTTCGTTCCAATTTTCGACCCTAATACCTCTGATCGGACGAAATTTGTCGAGAACAGAGAATATTAGATATTCTATAAGTCTGTAAGTAGAATATAGAATTTGATCGCGTTTAATGGTTCGCTATTGTCTTACTACCGTGACAGAAGATCGCTAGCACGAGTATCGTCTCGAACGAAATCGTGCTGGTAGTTGAAGCCGCATTAAAGAAGCCCACACGCTGTCCATTAAACCCGACATTATAGGATAATTGCATCCTGTGGCTACTTCATTGCAGCTACTTCATCGTGTCAGTCACGGTTGCTTCTTTCATTATGACTTCGTTTTCATTCAATTCCCCTTTCATCTATGAAACAGGGTCGACGCGAGGCTATGTTGCTAAATAATTAAATGTACAACACGATACCGTTTCTAATTAACTAACCGATCAACGTATGTCCCGCTACGCGTTCACAATTTCGCTGTCGTTATTACCAAGAAATTATCCGTCGTCGTAATAAATTTACTCGTTCGTCGGTATATTACCGTTGTTCGATTCGCGACTGATAATAACAGTCGCCGATACAACTTCTCGAAGCGAGTTCAACCGGAGGAAATTGCGGAATGACCGAAATTCCGAGAGGATCGTCGCGACACGGACGGAAAAAGACAAATGGCGACCCATTAAAGCGTTCAAGGAATCGCGTGATCTCGGTTCACGTTATCCGTACCAGCTTTCGCGAACAGAATTGAATCTGCGAAAGAGATTCCATTCTTATCGAGACAGTGGCAGGTGTCGCATGGACCGTGCAGAGAAATCCGTTGGTAAAAGAAGATATCTCGAGCAGTGGGTTCGAGTTAGTGGGTCGTAACGAGACGCGGGCGAGATGCGGGCGAGATGCGAGAAGCTTAGAGCAACGCGGCGAACAAATCGATAATCGACCGTCGAAATCGTGCATCGGTCACCGACGCGTGTACACGCGCGTACGCGTATAGGATCCTATACACGTATAGGATCGCGAACGTACAAGCTAGGCGCGAGCACGAAATCCGCTCTCGTCGAATTTATCGCGACCGTAAAAAGCCCGTCCCCGTGAATCCGCATCAAAGCGGAGATTCACGAGCGATGGCGGCCAATTCTGGTAAAACGTTTCACTACGAAATCCGCCTTATCCAGCCCCGGGGCCACGGCTCGTAAACTTTTCCCGGCGTTTTCCTTTTTCGAAATTCGCCGCGAGAGGCTGTCCGCTCTGAATTGTAAATTCTGTCCCGAATCGATCCGTCGCTCGTCGAGAACGTCTCGATACGATCGCGTTACGGAAGCTTCGAAAGATCGACGATCTTCTCCGTGATCTTTCGTATCGGACGCTAATCGAAAGACGCCACCTTTCCGGCGAATAAAAAATAAAGCCCGTCACGGCATTCGAACGTTCATCGAAACGAAATATCGACAATATCGCGCTCACGGATCGACAGGTTGCGCGAACGAGTCAGCGAACGGGAGTAATTTATAAACGGACCGAGTCAAGTTTAAAAATCGAACGAGATTTTTAATCGTATTCGTAAGGTAAAGATTTTCGAAACTTACTTCAATAGGGTGCTTAAGGTGGTCTGCCTGATCATGCAACACTGCAGAATAGGGGCCAAGATCGAGAATTCGTCGTGAAAAGGCTTCCCAAAACCTCTGCCGTGATCCAAGTGTAAAGGAAACGTGTTGTTGCCAAAGATCTTGAACGTTTCGTAATGGTGTCTGTCCATGTTACCCATAAGGAAGTCCAACACGGCCATATCCATCAAATCTAGCAACCTTCGCCCCTCGTCGTAAGGTGGTATTTCTTTCACCAACGAACAATAGTCGGAATCTGAAATACGTTACGAGACACTTTATTCCAGATAGACTACGACAACCGATAAATAATTTCGAAGAAAGGATTAAAGAGAAGGAAGAGAAGGTCACCGTGTTCCCATTGCGCCTTTTTCCGCTTGTGATAACTTCTTCTCCACGGATGTCGCCAGGCTTTCCTCGCGGCGAAAGATTTATCCGGCAAGTACGCGGCGAAGCTTCCTTCGAGAGTGTCCGGATTTCCGCAAATCGCGTGCGCCGTATCGCAGTAATAACTGCACTTGCCGTGGAAGCAGATATTGCCGGCTGGACTGACGAAAAACGTCTTTAACAGTTCACCGTCGGCGATCTGATAAATCTCCGTGGTTAAGTTCAACGTTCGCCCGGTGACTGGCATCGCTCTGCGGAATCCCAACAGCCTGCAAAAGGAAATTATTCGATCGAGAAACTGTCAGCCTACTACGACGATGCCGCGAGTTTGTCGGTAGGCGAGGAGAGAAAGAAGAGAAAGAAAAATCGATCATCTTTATTCTGGCCTCCCCGTTAACGATTAATAGCCGGTTACCTGTCGAGATGAAAGGCCGCAATTTCTGCCGTGTGCCTCTCGAAATCGGTGAAATAGAAATGATTCGGCAGGGTCTGCTGCTCCCGTGGAAACCTGCGACAGAAAGCAAACGCCGCACCGTTCTCGTTAAACCGTTCGAATCGTAAACGCGACCGTATTTTTTTATCGTACTTTCGCGTCGCGATAGACAAAGGCGTTTTACAAGAGTACCCATGGGAAATTCTTTCTTTTCTCCGACGAATTTTCCCGTTCAAGGGCATCGTCAATGAACAACCGAGAGAAAGTGGAAACGGAAAGTGGCTATCTTTCGTCCGGGTGTATTTAATCAACCGCGAAGAAACGATGTCTTCCTCGATTAAACGCTACAACGTCGTTTCGTTCGAACGGACGGGTTCGAGCAGAAACTAAATCGCTACTTTCGTTTTTCCCCGCTTCTCGATCGAATCGAGAGACCGCGTCGAATCGGCGCTTTTCTATTTCTACCCTTTCGTTTTAATTCTCCTTGTATTTACTTATTCGGCCGATACTCGAACAACCGACCAGTAAATTTCCGAGTAAATAAATAAGAGGGAAGAAAATTGCCTTTCAACGAGCCGATTACCGTCGATTCGAAACGCGTCACGTCATCGGCAAACGCGTTACCGTCGACTCGACAATTTCTATAGCTTCCAACTGTTCGACGATCGAATTAAATCGAGGCGGAAGGAATTTTTCCTCGATCAAACCGTGTTTTCCCTCGACGCTTTTCGTTCTTGGAAAAATATTTTCCTCGTTCAAGGCCACGCGGCACGTACCGACCGACCGACCGAGCCTCGAGACGTTGGAATCTAAAAGGAGACGATTTCTCGAGAAAACACCGGCGAAATATCCAGCGAAATATCCAGCGAAATAAAGAGAAAGACGGAGCAACCTTACAACTCTTTCTACGCTTCCATCGCGCGAGACTCGACGACGATAAATAAAAAAGACGTCCCTAGGGAATCCTTCTTCTACGTGTACGCGTACACCTTTTCTCCTTCGGAATATACCGGCAGGAACAAAAAGCCTGAAATTCTCGAGATGTACCGACGTTGAACGAGTACGCGTCACCGAAACTCCATGGAAATGGAAATAATGGGAGAAACCTGTCCGACGAAACAATCGTTCCTGATCGATATTTAACCGCGAAAATATTTCGGAACAGAATATTAACGTTTTCAGCGTCCTTCTTCCAGTCCTTTCGAACAATAAATAATAATTTATCGCGAGCGTGCCGCGAGTTTTTCAACGGTACACGAATTATCTGGAACAGAAAACACGCTCGAGGCGAAAAAACTTGCGTCGACGAGGCGGCGAACAAATAATAAAGTATTTTTATTCCTTTAATCGCTATAGCCGATATTTCAACAATTTTTTACGCTTCGTTCGAATTAATCGGTTTCGCGTTTAATCATTAATTTGCCCGCAAGTTCGCGGCACCGCGTTTTATCGTTATTCCATCTGCACCGCGTTAACGAGAATTTTCATTCTTTACTTTTACGTACGAACGCGCAAACTGAATATTTCATTCTTAATTACGACGATCAAGATCATCGTGCGCAAAAACTAATTATCGCGGAACGATAGCTTCGTCGCGCGCAACGAACGAAACAAGAGAATCGTATAAACGTTTGCAAAAGAGAAGGGGAAAAGGGTAAAGCGGAGAATCGAGATCGTTGTACTTTATCGGCCCTCCATGGTAACAGGAAAGGAAAAAGAACGAACCGTGCAATCCGGTAAGCCACCCAAGAAGATTCTTTACTCGATCAAATATTTACCCACGATCTTCATGTAGATTTTACGAGCCACCTGGTACGTATTCGATGGATCTATGAACGCGGCTATCGCGAAACTGGCGCAACCAAAGAGTTTTCCTTCGAGCTCGTTCAAACGTAGCCTCGATTTTCGACGAGTTACCCTTGCCCTTCGAATCGGCCATCCTTAATTAATACCCGATAACTCGTTCGATACGAATTAGCGTACAATAATCGTTTCCGAAACGATAACGCGACGACGATATCTCGTCTGCGCGCGTCGACGAAGAGAATTTCGACGTTTCTACGCAAAATGTCAACGGAAAAGTTCAATGTTTTATGGCGACGACTCGAGGGCGCTCGAAAGGTCGCGAGTGAGGGCGGAGGAGATCGTTACCGAAAATACGCGGCGTAGATCATCGTTAGATCGGCAGATAAAACAAACGATTTTTATACGAAGAAGAGAATAAAACGACGAAACGCCGAACGAACGCGAAAGGATGAATCGTAAAGTTGAAACGAAAAATGATTTTAGATACGGTCAGGTTGTTGGAAGAAACGAAACAACGAGGTCTGGAAAACCGCAGACCGAAGGCAGCGACTTTTCCGAGCGGACCAGGCTAATTAATACGACGGTCGCCCGGTAATTAGCGCGTAATTTGCATCTGATTAAAAGTTAACTGGCGTCGCGAGGCTGCCAGACCAGCCGTTGCCTCCTGACCTTCCGACTTTGCTGCCATAATTTTGTTTACCCAGAGCTTCTTGGTCCGCGAATTTTCGCCGAGCATCGTTTCTCGAAAGTGCACGGGAAAGATAACCGGTCTTTGGCTCGAATAATTGTACGGATCAAGACCCGCGTCGCCGTTAGTTTACGTCCGAACGAAAACGTCGTTGCTTTCGACGAACGCCTTCGAGCAATAATTCCTACGCGATTCTGGCAAATTTCTCGCTTTTCAACCGTTCTAAAAAGCTTCGTTGTTGGTTTATTTCTTCGAATTTGTCATAAAGTCCTCCTTGTACCGGCTCTCGCGTACGACCGAATCAGAATATTAATGATCTGTGTATACGTATATACATATGTACCAGTAATATGTTCAATTTAATCGTTGAAAAAATAAGTGGCTCGATAAAGGGTGGACTTTTTTTTTTTTTTTTTTTTCGTTCTTTTCGCCACTCGTGGACCGATCGAGCATCGATAATTACCATCGACCTACATCATTAACTAGCTCCGCAATTAGCGTTAGGCCATTCCCGGTATCGTGAATTCCAATGGAACTGGTTTTGCAGGCTTCGCGAAAATCCCAAACACTCGAGTACTCACCGACCGACCATGTCGACTCGTTCGCGCGTCAATATTGTCCCGATACGAATGCGCGTTTACTTGTTCGTTAATTGGATAATATTTCGATAAAAACGTAAACCGATCGATCAACGGAAAGGAGAAAATTCACGAAATTTCGATGGTAGATAGAACGAGGCGAAGAAATTTTCGAAATTTTTTACCGAAAAGAAGGAAACTAGGAGGCGAAATAAAAAGAGTAGCCGATCGTAGAATATCGCGAAGAAATCTAAAGGCTATAGGATGAAAGAGCGTCGGAGAGACGGTCGGCGATAAAACGATTCGCGCGAGGAAATAATTTGCCGGGAAAGAGCGTCGGCAGAAATTGTCCATTCGACGAATCTCGGCCGGTTGAAGTGGAAAAAGGAAGGTAGAACTGGTTCGTTTCGAAAGGAGAAAAAGAGGTGTCCTCCTTAACGCGTAACGAGAGCTTATTGCGGGATTGGTGGCGTCGGGACGCTCGCAATTTCGAGCCGAAATCTCTTTCCAGCGTTCCGCGAGGGTCGAAGGGGGGTTCCAGGCCGGAAACTTTCCATGGAACTTATCGGCGAACTTATTACCGGAGTTTAAGCCGGCCTCGGCCACTTATCGCGGAATCTTCGGCCGACCGGAAGTTTAAAGGGCCAAGCGTGTGCACGGAAGTGGTTCGAGGACGGTCCAAGACGAGACAGAGATAAAAAGAATCGCAATAAGCGTCTCGACGAGCCTCGCTTGTCTCGAATTTTCTTCTCCGCTTCTGGATATTACGTTTTCTCTGCTTTATTCTTCTTCCTCGTTCCTTTCTACCGGCCCTCGACCATCGAGATCCTGGGAAAGACGACGAGAATCCTCCTCCTCTTCCTTCTCGGACAGATATTTCGGACGAGTCGAAGAGAAGATGCTTGTCGCGACTCGATTGAAGAAGAAAAAAAGAAGGGAAAGAAAGCGCGTTATTTCGTAGGAGTTTCGGCTAATTTCGCGACGAAGCGAGTTTTCAGTTTGAAAATCTGGAATATCGTGAACAAGTGGAAAAAAGAAGGAGTTATTCTCGCGTTTCCTCGGTCCCCCTTCCCCGGTCCCCGTCCACGAAAGAGATCTCCGTTCGATTGGTATCGTGAATTCCAATGGAACTGGTTTTGCAGGCTTCGCGAAAATCCCAAACACTCGAGTACTCACCGACCGACCATGTCGACTCGTTCGCGCGTCAATATTGTCCCGATACGAATGCGCGTTTACTTGTTCGTTAATTGGATAATATTTCGATAAAAACGTAAACCGATCGATCAACGGAAAGGAGAAAATTCACGAAATTTCGATGGTAGATAGAACGAGGCGAAGAAATTTTCGAAATTTTTTACCGAAAAGAAGGAAACTAGGAGGCGAAATAAAAAGAGTAGCCGATCGTAGAATATCGCGAAGAAATCTAAAGGCTATAGGATGAAAGAGCGTCGGAGAGACGGTCGGCGATAAAACGATTCGCGCGAGGAAATAATTTGCCGGGAAAGAGCGTCGGCAGAAATTGTCCATTCGACGAATCTCGGCCGGTTGAAGTGGAAAAAGGAAGGTAGAACTGGTTCGTTTCGAAAGGAGAAAAAGAGGTGTCCTCCTTAACGCGTAACGAGAGCTTATTGCGGGATTGGTGGCGTCGGGACGCTCGCAATTTCGAGCCGAAATCTCTTTCCAGCGTTCCGCGAGGGTCGAAGGGGGGTTCCAGGCCGGAAACTTTCCATGGAACTTATCGGCGAACTTATTACCGGAGTTTAAGCCGGCCTCGGCCACTTATCGCGGAATCTTCGGCCGACCGGAAGTTTAAAGGGCCAAGCGTGTGCACGGAAGTGGTTCGAGGACGGTCCAAGACGAGACAGAGATAAAAAGAATCGCAATAAGCGTCTCGACGAGCCTCGCTTGTCTCGAATTTTCTTCTCCGCTTCTGGATATTACGTTTTCTCTGCTTTATTCTTCTTCCTCGTTCCTTTCTACCGGCCCTCGACCATCGAGATCCTGGGAAAGACGACGAGAATCCTCCTCCTCTTCCTTCTCGGACAGATATTTCGGACGAGTCGAAGAGAAGATGCTTGTCGCGACTCGATTGAAGAAGAAAAAAAGAAGGGAAAGAAAGCGCGTTATTTCGTAGGAGTTTCGGCTAATTTCGCGACGAAGCGAGTTTTCAGTTTGAAAATCTGGAATATCGTGAACAAGTGGAAAAAAGAAGGAGTTATTCTCGCGTTTCCTCGGTCCCCCTTCCCCGGTCCCCGTCCACGAAAGAGATCTCCGTTCGATTACACCGGAGAGTGGAGGCCTGCGGTTTTTCCCGCCGCGAGGCTCGCCAACTTACGTGGATGGGATTACGAGCACAATTACATAAGTGGAGGGGCCAAGTAGTTCCTCGTGCCGTAAAAGAGCCACTCGAACTGTCCTTGCCGCTTCTATTCAATTATCATTGCCTCGTTCTCGCTCGTTCTTTTTCCCTTCAGAAAACGCGATACGTCACATCCTCCTATTGTCTCAGGGCTCGACAACTTTTGCCTTTCGAGAACGAGAGAAGGCAAACGAGCAACGAGGGTGGCGATCGTGACATTTTTTTCCGCCTCGGGTGCACACGAGGGGTTCGTCGGGTCAAATAAAAAGGGACGATTTATAGCGCCTACAATTTTTCGCCAACGTTTTCAACTTCCTACGTCCACTCCTACTGCGTCATACATTCAATTTTATCTTCGTTAATTACAACGATTCTATCCTAACCGTTTCGTACGACTGTCGCCAAACATTTTTCCGCCATCCGAAAGCCACTATTCTCTTCTCGAACGAGTTCTTAACGATGTCGCGCGAGCCGTTTTTTCGCTCTGCGGTCAATTGCTTCGACAGGAAGTTACGGGGGAGCGATGTTTTACCGTTAATTTCCCGTTCTTATCGACGCCGATCTGTTCACCGATTCTCCCGGGATTTCGCGACTACGACGACGACGACGACGACGACGACGACTTAGCCGCGTCACGGACAAACTGGCCAAGTAATTTCGCGCTGGCTGCGACCCCGAGATACGAAACTTTCTGACCCTATCTTTGCACGTTGCCACCATCCTTCCTAAAACTAGCAAGTACACTTACAGCTTCAGGGAGTTTCTAATCGCGACTGCGAGACCGATTCGACGCTAAGTGGAAAAATAACGAGAGGATAGATTACTCACCTCATCGGCTTGAAAAGCGCCTGCATGTTCGAATAGTTTATTTGGAGTTTCAGCTGCGTACCACCTTCCTTCTGAACTGAAACCAGACAACGAATATATTCGTAAAATTATTCAAAAAATTACAACTATTTTGCTCCGGTAAAGTTAAGAAAATAAACGCGATCGTATTTGAGGTTAAAAGGAGTAATTTCGAGGTTCGGGAACCGCGCGAACCAACTTCGTTAAGAGAACTATTTTTGACGGAAACGCACCAACAGCATATCGATCGCGTGGCTCCTCCACTGTGTCAATTTCATAAATGATATATGCCTAATTCAGGTGGCAGCCGTCCGGGTTACCCGCCAACGATTTATCACGCGAGACAATTAATCGTCCACCTCTTGTCCTGTCGATGAAATTATCGACTCGAACTACTCGCGAACCCCCCTACGCTCGATATTCGTCGCTCTTTTCTTTCGATCGAGCTGTCGTAAATAAATAAACAGAATCGAATAAACGCGTTCGCTGTCAGCGGGGTGATCGGTGATTAGCAAAAAATGTTGCAATCTATTTGAAAATAACGCGAACGATACGGAAGCAAGACGAACGGTATTACGTAATGAAATACGCCAACATCTTTATTGGAGTTTATTGCCGTTGATATCTCGCGTTTCTTAGAATTCTGTGAGCGGCAACTGCTCGGAATCGCGGAGCAAACGGAGTAAACTGAAAAAGCGCCGACGGTGGTACTTTACGTAGATAGAAGATATCGATTTTCGAAGTGAACCGATGATAATTTCACCTTGAACTCCGGTAAAGTTCGAAGGTGAAAAAGAGGAAAAACGCGGATAAACGAGAACGTCGAGCAAAGTTTGCGAAAGCTCTGCGCGCTCTTCGAGCATCGTTTAATCGATAATTCGAATTAACGATTCTCGTTTTACGTCGCGCGTTAACTTATCCTATTTTTCAACGCGCGAGTAAACAAAAGAAAAGAAATTTACATTTTTCGCACGATTTACGCGGCCGCTATAACTCGTAGCTAGCGACAATAGGCTGCTTGGTTAAATAAATATTTAAACAAGATCTCGATCGATTCTCTTTTAATCGAGTTCTACGTATCTTATCAGTCGAGTCGTTAGTTTCCAGAAACGAAATTTAGTTTGGAACGATTCTCGGAAACAGTGAATCGATCGCGAACAGTGTCATCGAAATTCCCGGATGATTAAACGTCTAATCTCACGAACCGTGTCTACGTACCGAAATTAATTTTCGGTCTACTATATCGGATGGCGATAGTCTTACCGGCGCAATTTAATTATTGTTTAGCAAATTGGATCGATCTCCTTTGTCAACGAGATACAACGACAAATAGAAGACAAATAGAAGACGTTCGTCTCTTTTTCCTTTTCGACCTACGGCTCGCGACGCGACGAAACGATCTAATTTCCCACGGCAGCTCCCACGGATGCCACCACTGATAGTCCTATATCCGTCCGCGATCGTTCGACTTTCTTCTATCTTCAAATCTCTTTACCGTACTACTTGTCTAACTTGTCTCGCGATAGTCTAAGAAATTTCGAACGAACGCGTCCAAACTTGAATTTATCTTGAAATTCTTCTTTCGGTTGTTGGTTCTTCTCGAGTTCTCTCTACAGTTTGGCAAATTCGTAGGTGAACGCTCTGTGCAAAGTTGAAATTTAAATCGATTATCGAACTATCGAGTAACCAACACCGATATACATAAATAATCGTACACGAGTCGACGCGAACCTCGAGCCGGAAATTAGGCGTGCAACATCGTGCCAGATCTAATTTTAAATCGTTACGATTCGAGAGAGCGAGAGAGAACTTCTTCTTTTCTTCTTTCGGATCGTACGATCGTGGCATTGTTAGTCAATGAACCGCGTCGTGGCGATTACTAAGCACAAAGCCACGGTCACAATAACACCGGTTAATTGTCTGGCTTCATGGGCCGAAAAGAAATTAATTCCGACAGAGAAGATTATACCGAAGCCGTTTCCAGATTAATTTTATGCCTATGCTTAGGCGTTCGATTCGCTCGTTGTATCGGCTTTGCCTGATACCTACACGTAGATTGGACGTAAAAATTTTCAAAGGAATATTTAAACGAATAGTACCTACAAAATCGCTACAATGAAAATAATATAGTACGAAACGAAATTTCCACCAAGTTTTATAGAAGACGACGTATCGCGCGACTATCGAAGAAGAAGAAGATTGGCGATTTATTTTGATTCACGGAAAATTTAATAAAGGTCCACACGTACAGGTACCGGCTTACCATCCATTACTTTACCGAACGGAAAAATTCCAGGCACGATTTGCGTGCACTGTCACTCGAAAATTTATATTACAGTATGTTCGATCGCGTATTACGTCGGTGGAAGGAGTCGAACGAGCAGCGCTCAAGAATTTCGATTATCATGCACTCGGTTCCGATCCGATGTCTGACCAGTGTCGTCCAATTCCACTGAACGATACCGTTCGATTCTCCTCCTTTCGCCTCGGTTCAACCTTTCTTACGAAACTCGAATACGTGCTACCCTAACCAGCCATTTTAACGCGCAACAAATGCAACTCGTATTTCAGTCTTACCGCTGCACAGACGCGTCCAACGGTTGTAAATCCGCATTGAATTTCTCGTATCGCGAATCGAATATTATCAAATTATAGGACTGACGTACGAAAAGAAGATTAGCTCACCGACATGAACGATAGGCTCCGTTGCGAGTTCGTGTAACAATTGGTCCACGTATTTCGAATTAGCCGGATACAGTTCCGTCCTCGAGATCTTCAGATGAAATTTCTCCAACGTCGAACTATTTTTCCTGTAATCAGAAACAAAACGAACCAACTTAGCACGCTGAAATAGCAGCGACAACGAATCTCAAAATTACTCCGCAGAGTCTATCGAATAATGTATACTAGAAAATTTCGTTCCCTTATTTAACAAGTTAGCAATATTATAATAACATTGTTACATGCATATATTATGTCGCACGATGTCGGACGATATTCTCCGGATTCGTACAGCGAAAACAGCCGGCTGACGTTTTTCATTAATATTTAAGTCGCGACGAAGAATCGGGTCACGAAAGTTCCCTCTCGTCAGAAATCTGATAAAGTTTCTGGCGATATTGAAATCAGTTTCTTCCGAAAATGAACACGATTTACGTCGTAAGCATCCGACAGAATAATTTTCTTAATCAGAACGTACAAATTGCGGTCGCCTATCTTTTTTAATATTCGCGGACAGCCTGTAATCGAATTTTTCTTCGCTAAACCTATTTTAATTAGAAACGAACTGTTCGTCCGCCTACACAACTTCGCAAACAATATTTCAGGAATTTTTTTTTAATAATAAAGCGATGTTCGCTCGAAAAATTTTCCAATCATTTGTCGCGATATACGAATTCTAGGGACGGTTAAAATTATACGTTGTTTCTCCGAAAACGGTACTACTCGTCAGGACCAACCGATCGATCAAAAGGAATCTTGCCGCTTCCCCTTTTTCAAACAGACGCTCTTTCGTTCCGATTCCAAGATATTTCTATATTAAACCGGAGAACGAGTAATTATTCGCTATGCTTTTCGATTGTTTGAAGGCGTTACAAAGTCGGTAATATATGTGATGCACGCGTAAAGTTGAAGGCAATTAATTCAGACACCTCTGAAGTTACGTAATTAAGATGTCGCGTGATCCACATCCTTGTCAGGTTTCCTTCCGAGAGACTGATTCGCTTCGAAGAAGCTTTCTCGAGACGCGTTCGCCTCCTCAAAATTGAACTCGGTACGCGTACAGGAAACTGGCCTTTTTACCTTTCGAATTCCGCCAGAGTACAATATTAAAGCGAGAACGCTGAGACACGATGAAAACGATCGCTCACGAGACGCGCACGCTGTTCGAAGTATTATTCGTTTCGCTTTTTAATTTAAACGCCTGTTATCCGTTCGATGTCTTCGACATAATCTGTGCCTTCGTCAGTGACTCGTTACCGCGACTATTTCTAATTTTCAACGAATTGCAGCTTTTCGAGATCGAGCGAGCAAGAACAATAGACGATTCTCGAAACAGCCAAGCATTCGTAACCGCCACAAAATGACCTCTATCATGCTAATTCCCTTTGTCCATACATGCGGCTATTAATTCCAAGGACTGTCGGATGCCGTTTTATAAATAACAACTAACGCGGGAATCATATTAATGCGTTCATGATTCAGTCGAAATCACCGACCGGTGACTAATTCCTTTTGCGACGTTGGAACATGTCATCGACTAAAAAATCTGCACTCTCCGTGCTTACTCGTTCAACGATTACTCTAATTACATAGTTTTTATTAGGTTCGCGTAATCTTGTTCGCTTTGCTCGAGGATTCAAAGTATGTTTGGACGTCGGTATTCGCGCAAATAGCTTACGAAGGAAGTTGACTATGTCGTTAGAACGATCTTGTTCGACGCGACGGCTAGCGTTCGTCGAAATCTACGTTTCTCCGACCGCACACTGTTCCTACTAATTCATGCGCGTGTTTCCATTCCGCGTAGATGCGTTTAATATGCATGTAGCGTCGCGTGTATCGTCGAGGATTAAACTCCGTACTGGGGCAAAGCATCGGATTATCCGCAAAACTGTATTCCCCGTCATTCTGACGCGTCGACGCGTTCGTCTGAACTGCCCTCTGTCAACGAATCGTTCGAGCACGTTCGATACATTCGGTCATGCACGCTCGATCTTTCGAGTACGAAGAAAAATTTGTCCAAGAAACGCGCGTCCATCCCCGTGCATCGGCGAATTTCGATGCTCGACGAAAGCGTGCATCGAACAGCGCGAGGCAGAGATTATAACCCGACGATTTATCGCGATAACTCCCCGTAAAACTGGATTATCGTATCGCGACAAAATATTCGGAAAACATCTGTTTTCGCGGATCGTTAAGCGAACCGTTATTTACCGTGGCACTCGCGTTTCGATTCGCTTTCGCCTTTGGTAATTTTCTTGGAAATGGACCAAGGATCTTAGCATTCTCGAAAGGTAATCCGCGGCGCAGGCTTTTCCGGATTCTGTTTCCAATTATCCCGTCGACGAACCTCGAAAGCGTCTAGACGAGGCTTTAATTCATAATACGATTGGACCAAGGCTCTCGCGGTTGAATCGGAATCGTGTCGGAGAACGCTGGCAGCTACTTTGACGCGAGATATCGGCATCGGATCATCGAGACCATCCTGGATTCGTTAGGAAGATTAATTTTAATTCGCCTTTGAAGAAACTCTCGTATCCGATGTTACTAAGACGCTCTCTCTCTTCTACGACAATTTCGTTGAGAATCGAATAAAATAGCGAATTAATCGAAAGGAAGGGACAGAGTTCGATCTCGTATCGAATCGTTTCGATGAAACGACACTCGGATAAGCCTAGTTATCACGGGAGCACACATCCACAGGCAAGACGTAATCAGTCAGTGTACATGAAAGCGTGACCTAAGCCTTCGTTACTGCACGTGCATGCGCCATGAAATTGCATTAGCGATCACTGCATATTGAGGCAGACTGTGTGCATTCTGACCTGTGCACACAGGGACGTACAGCGGGATCTGTACACGTACGTTGCACGTGTACACTTGCACGAATTGTACGAAACCCCAACTATATATACACGGTGTGCCTACTTTAACGATCTCATCAATTGCCGGATGGCCAATATGTGCCGAGCTCGTTGTTTCTCCTATCGATTTTCACACCCGTCACAGCCATACTGCCCAAAAAATCGTCGAAATTTCGACGGCATAACGAACGCGCGGAAATTAGACAGGTCCTTAGAGTGGGCCCCGCCGGTCTATCCAATTAATTTCGATCGCTTTCAGAGATTATAACCCGACGATTTATCGCGATAACTCCCCGTAAAACTGGATTATCGTATCGCGACAAAATATTCGGAAAACATCTGTTTTCGCGGATCGTTAAGCGAACCGTTATTTACCGTGGCACTCGCGTTTCGATTCGCTTTCGCCTTTGGTAATTTTCTTGGAAATGGACCAAGGATCTTAGCATTCTCGAAAGGTAATCCGCGGCGCAGGCTTTTCCGGATTCTGTTTCCAATTATCCCGTCGACGAACCTCGAAAGCGTCTAGACGAGGCTTTAATTCATAATACGATTGGACCAAGGCTCTCGCGGTTGAATCGGAATCGTGTCGGAGAACGCTGGCAGCTACTTTGACGCGAGATATCGGCATCGGATCATCGAGACCATCCTGGATTCGTTAGGAAGATTAATTTTAATTCGCCTTTGAAGAAACTCTCGTATCCGATGTTACTAAGACGCTCTCTCTCTTCTACGACAATTTCGTTGAGAATCGAATAAAATAGCGAATTAATCGAAAGGAAGGGACAGAGTTCGATCTCGTATCGAATCGTTTCGATGAAACGACACTCGGATAAGCCTAGTTATCACGGGAGCACACATCCACAGGCAAGACGTAATCAGTCAGTGTACATGAAAGCGTGACCTAAGCCTTCGTTACTGCACGTGCATGCGCCATGAAATTGCATTAGCGATCACTGCATATTGAGGCAGACTGTGTGCATTCTGACCTGTGCACACAGGGACGTACAGCGGGATCTGTACACGTACGTTGCACGTGTACACTTGCACGAATTGTACGAAACCCCAACTATATATACACGGTGTGCCTACTTTAACGATCTCATCAATTGCCGGATGGCCAATATGTGCCGAGCTCGTTGTTTCTCCTATCGATTTTCACACCCGTCACAGCCATACTGCCCAAAAAATCGTCGAAATTTCGACGGCATAACGAACGCGCGGAAATTAGACAGGTCCTTAGAGTGGGCCCCGCCGGTCTATCCAATTAATTTCGATCGCTTTCAATTTTTCTTATACGACGTTCGATCGTCGCGGGCCCGTTTGCTCGTTATTAGGTAAGAAACGAACTCCGATATCGGTTAATTCGAGATTGTTTCGAGCCGGCTGGCAAACGAGCCCGTTCTGATTACGGGATTGTCTGATTAGTCTCTGTTTCCTGGCGAGGTCCCGGCAATGTTTCGGGGAACACGGCTATAGGAAGAGCGAGTCAAGGAAACATCGCGAGTCTTCCGGTGTGGCTGGCAACTGGCGTGTTCGCGAGCAAGCCAAACTGCAAACCGAATCTTCTAGAGTAGATTGAGTTCGGAAACACGCGCGCCAGTCGAAATAATCTCGCCCCATCCTCGCTAACTCCTCTCGCCGTAGCAGTCGACTGTAACTCTATCAGAACTCGGATTTAAGCTTCGTTCGCATGTACGAACCGATCGCCGGCCAACAGATTCGAAATCGAGCCTTCGCATGTTCGCTGAATTTCTATAACGAACGCGGTTCGATCTTGCAAACTTCCTTCCGACAGACCCGACAAATTCCCGTGGACAAAAATGCCATCCTTTATATTACATAATTTTCAATAATTTACGAATTCAACTTTAGTGCCCGAAATCCTGTTCATCTGATTTTCAAAAGCTAATTCTGGCTTATTAATTACGCGGCGATTAACGAAGCTGTTCCGTCATGTTAATTTCATTTTGACCGTTTCTACTCCGCCAAACATTTCATCGTATTCCCATTGAATCATGATATCGAATCCGGCTATTGTTCCGTCGTATTATTTCAATTTTCGAAAGTTTGTAATTTATTATCGAAAATCGCATTGTGTACGCGTATACAATTCGGAGCGTGTGCTTTTTCGATTAAATTCATGGTATGTGAAACGAAGCGTGATTTCGACGATCGCGAATATAGCGTAAATATAGCGAAGAAGGGAACCGAGGAGGCTGTGGAAAAAA